ACAGTGTTAAGAACTCCAGCAGCACTGCTGTGTCTGATCCACTCAGACCAGCACAACACACTAACACACCACCATCCCATCAGTGTCACTGACCAACCACCCAAATAATACTTGCTCTGTGGTGGTCCTGTGGGGGTCCTGACCATTGAAGAACTGGCCAATACTAGAAAAATCTGTAATTAGTCTTACCGTATACTGGTGCTGGACGAATTTCGCGATTAATTCGGTCTATTTGAATGAATGTTTTCACACGATGTTGGAAATGTGACAGTCGGGTTTGTACATGTTTACATTGCTTGTACTTTAATTAAAATACCAACAAAAACTATTCAAATTTCAAGACATACAAAAAATGTATGCAATAAAATGTAATGATTAATTTCTTAAAAACACTGCCAGCACAAACGATGATTTCTACGGCACAAACCAGCACAAACGAATAGTAGAATTTGTATTCCATTTCTGACCACATGGGGGGCCAGCTCCACATCTTCACATGGAAGTTATTAGGGCTGTTTCAGCACTGACTGTTTTTTTAATGAGATACAATACAGGCATCCAATCAGCACAGTTTACATATATTATGTCAAAGGCAGCCTAACAAAAACAGCCTGTTCAGGTGTAAAGAAGCTGAAAAATGTACGTCAAGGGGATACAAAAAGAAAATGTAGAAAACGGCTCTTTAAAATATGAAATATGTGAGGAGGACAGCAGACTATGGTGCCTAAGTTCTGGATTAAGAGTAGTGCTGTTCTGTTTGTTTAAAGCTGATAGAATTTTAAATAAAAACATTGGTACAGCACATTTCAGTAGCACAGACAGACACATACAGGGCCTGCACAGCATCTGCTCAGTGACTGGACCCGTATTTAAATGATTTGTGCAGTGCCGCACATGATTGTTCGGTAAAGGTTCGCAGTGGTTGTCGTAGAGATTTCAGTTCATAAATGAACACCGTTCCCGCTGCACTGGCGGAGCTGCGCTGGCGGAGCGTGCTGTATCTGCTCGAGCCGCTCTCTCTCCGCTGCAGCGCCTTATCTGTGCTGCTCCGTGGGAAACGGTGTTTAAAGGTATTGAGATGTTTGTCTACCGGTCGTCGTCTATAATCCCGGTCATGCTGCCTGGTGACTTTAACAGTACAAGTGTGTGTTTAATGGTTTTCCATCCGAGGCATGTCCAGTGCCAAGTGTAATAAGTTAGCTCTAATGCTAACCAAGTTAGCCTGTCACCCTGCTAGCTAATGTTAACGGTGCAGTAACGGTGCCTCATACCTGCTGTCTGACTGGCTTCCTTAGCATTGAACTCACGTCATGTGTTTTTTTAAGATATTACTAAAAAAACGTGATGGACAGCCAGTAGGAAGGCCATAGAGAGAGGAGGAGGAGGGGGAGGAGAGGGAGAGGAGAGGAGAGGGGGAGGGAGAGGAGGCAGAGAGGGAGAGGGAGAGGGAGAGAAGAGGGGGAGGGAGAGGGAGAGGAGAGGGAAAGGGAGAGGAGAGGAGAGGAGAGGGGGAGGGAGAGGGACATGAGAGGGAGAGGGAGATGAGGAGGGACAGGAGAGGGAGACGGAGAGGAGACGAAGAGGGAGAAGAGGAGGGAGAGGAGATGGGGAGGGAGAGGAGAGGAGAGGGAGAGGGGGAGGGAGAGGAGAGGGAGAGGGGAGGGAGAGGAGAGGGGGAGGGAGAGGGGAGGGAGAGGAGAGGGGGAGGGAGAGGGAGAGGAGAGGGAGAGGGGGAGGGAGAGGAGAGGGAGAGGGGGAGGGAGAGGAAGAGGAAGAGGGAGAAGAGGAGACGGGGAGGGAGAGGGGGAGGAGAGGGAGAGGGAGAGGAGACAGGGAGGGAGAGGGGGAGGGAGAGGGAGGAGAGAGGAGAGGGGGAGGGAGAGAGAGAGGTAGAGGAGAGAGAGGAGAGGGAAAGGGAGAGAGAGAGGAGAGGGAGAGGAGAGGAGAGGGGGAGGGAGAGGAGAGGGGGAGGGAGAGAGAGGGGAGAGGAGAGGGAGAGAGAGAGGAGAGGAGAGGGAGAGGAGAGGGAGTGGAGACGGGGAGGGAGAGGAGGCGGGGAGGGAGAGGGGGAGGGAGAGGGAGAGGGAGAGGAAAGGGGGAGGGAGAGGAGAGGGAGAGGGAGAGGGGGAGGGAGAGGGAGGGGAGAGGAGAAGGGGAGAGAGAGGGAGAGGTAGAGGAGAGGGAGAGGAGAGGGAAAGGGAGAGAGAGAGGAGAGGGAGAGGAGAGGAGAGGGGGAGGGAGAGGAGACGGGGAGGGAGAGAGAGGGGAGCGGAGAGGGAGAGAGAGAGGAGAGGGAGAGGAGAGGGGAGGGAGAGGAGAGGGAGTGGAGACGGGGAGGGAGAGGGGGAGGGAGAGGGAAATGGAGAGGAGAGGAGGAGGGAGAGGAGGAGGGAGAGGAGAGGGAAAGGGAGAGGGAGAGGTAGAGGAGAGGGAAAGGGAGAGAGAGAGGAGAGGGGGAGGGAGAGGAGAGGAGAGGGAGAGGGAGAGGAGACGGGGAGGGAGAGAGAGGGGAGAGGAGAGAGAGAGAGAGGAGAGGGAGAGGAGAGGGGGAGGGAGAGAAGAGGGAGAGGAGACGGGGAGGGAGAGGGGGAGGTAGAGGGAGAGGTAGAGGAGAGGGAGAGGAGAGGGAAAAGGGAGAGAGAGAGGAGAGGGAGAGGAGAGGAGAGGGGGAGGGAGAGGAGACGGGGAGGGAGAGAGAGGGAGAGGAGAGGGAAATGGAGAGGAGAGGAGGAGGGAGAGGAAGAGGAGAGGGGAGAAGGAGAGGAGACGGGGAGGGAAAGGGGGAGGGAGAGGAGAGGGAGTGGAGACGGGGAGGGAGAGGAGGCGGGGAGGGAGAGGGGGAGGGAGAGGGAGAGGAGACGGGGAGGGAGAGGGAGAGGAGAGGGGGAGGGAGAGGAGAGGGAGAGGGAGAGGAGACGGGGAGGGAGAGAGAGGGAGAGGAGAGGGAAATGGAGAGGAGAGGAGGAGGGAGAGGAAGAGGAGAGGGAGAAGGAGAGGAGACGGGGAGGGAAAGGGGGAGGGAGAGGAGAGGGAGTGGAGACGGGGAGGGAGAGGAGGCGGGGAGGGAGAGGGGGAGGGAGAGGGAGAGGAGACGGGGAGGGAGAGGGGGAGGGAGAGGGAGAGGAGAGGGGGAGGGAGAGGAGAGGGAGAGGGAGAGGAGACGGGGAGGGAGAGAGAGGGGAGAGGAGAGGGAGAGAGAGAGGAGAGGGGGAGGGAGAGAAGAGGGAGTGGAGACGGGGAGGGAGAGGAGAGGGAGTGGAGACGGGGAGGGAGAGGGGGAGGGAGAGGGGGAGGGAGAGGAGAGGGAAATGGAGAGGAGAGGAGAGGGGGAGGGAGAGGGGGAGGAGGAGGGAGAGGAGAGGGAGAAGGAGAGGAGATGGGGAGGGAGACGGGGAGGGAGGGAGGAGGGAGGGGGGAGGGAGAGGGAGAGGGGGAGGGAGAGGAGAGGGAAAGGGAGAGGGGGAGGGAGAGGAGAGGGAGAGGACAAACAAACATTTTTAAATGTTTGTTTTAAGGCATGGCATGAAAGTAGACCTTTGTACAATAGAGACAAAACTACTCAAAGTTCTGCTGGCGGGTGTGTGAGTGTACCTTTGTACTGAGGTGAGTGCACATAAGGCATGGAGTTAATGTGACAGTTTGAATTCAAGTATTTTAAGTCAAATGGTTGAATTATACACCTCTCTCCTTGCATGAATGTTGTTTTTGCACTCACCTCAGTACATACACTGATCAAAAGTGAATGTAGAGAAACTTGTCAGCAGATTTTCTTTACAGTGGTGGCTGTGTCTATGGCACAAATGTAGCCATTTTATTTACAATCCAAAACGACCAGTAAACCTACACATGTCTTGATTTTTATATGGAATGTTGATAATGATAAAAAACTTAAATTGTAAAACAGTGTTTCAGACATTACGCTTTGTATTTCTAACATTTTGCGTAACAGTTATCTAGGGGAATTTTGGTGTTAAATGCTTTAGAAATCTGGTTCCTGTCATCACAACTGTGAATAAGTTATATCTTTAGAACGGCACATTCAACATTTAATCCACTCTGAATGACTCTGTTTACATCTTAAAGTGGAAATACACATATAGACATTTTATTTACTCTGCAAAATATATTGTACACTACGCTAATGAAATTTCAATTTGTTAAATGTTACTTGTAATAAGCTTTTGTGTTTAGTGCTTATAGTTTAAAGAAAATAAATGTTTTTAACTACACATCAGCTTTTTCTTCATCTCCTGTCATTCAATGTATTACATTAGAAGAGTTCGAATTTTGCCCACAGTGGATTTTGCAGTGATATTTTCAGGATGGAATTTTAGACCCGAATATTGATTGGTTGAACACACTAAGCACAAAGTGAAAAGGTTACAGATTTTGCATAGTTTCTGCTACAATTTGATTCACAATAAGAATGATTTCCACTTCCACACCTTTTACATACTTTTTTTTATTTGGAGAACAGAATCCCTGCAGATTATTATACCATCATGTGAGACACTGTGGTGTACGGATTAGTCCAGTGCATCGAGAATCATGGAAAAAATTAAAATCAAAATAATCAAGTGACTTCTTTTGGGGAAAAAAGTATAATTGGTTTCTTGTATTTGGTTCCCAAATTTAAAACAATGTCCTATAAGTACACCTATCTCAGAATTTGTGTGTGTGTGCATAATGTTGTTCCCAAAGTGGACCTAAAAAATAATTGTTCCCAAAGGTGAGGTAATTTTTTAGACATGTATAAAAAAGGATTTAACGAAAATCTGAAGTGATTTTGACAAAAACCTCTGCTCCTGTAACTCTAATCACAATCTATTTTCTCTCTAAACCTAAAGGAAAGTGCTGTTCCCAGAGTTGGGGTGTTTTACCATACGTTCCCAAAGGTTTCCTAAACGAGTGTGTGTGAGTGTGTGTGTGTGTGTGTGTGTGTGTGTGTCTGTGTGTGTGTGTGTGTGTGTGTGCGTGTGTGTGTGTGTGTGTGTACTTACATTTCTTCAGTCCTGGTTTGATTCTGTTCTCACCTCCATGTTCCACTCTAAACACAAACACACACACACACACTAATACACTCAGTTAAATGTTCTCACGTTCCTCTCTCTCTCATTCTCTCTCTCTTTGTCTCTCTGTAAACATATTTATCTGATAGTGTAACACATTCTGGTGACTCTCCTAAACACTTTTCTGTTTCTACATTATGATCTCTGAGGTGTTTCTTTCTTTGTGATTTTTTTTTAAATTTTAATCAGATAATCTGATTTGTGTGTTTTCTCTGTTCAGTAATCTGTAACATTCAAATTTATTAACTCAGGAAATTTAATTGGTCCAATTATTGATGTATTGTTTTGGTGTATTTTGTGGATCATTCTGAGTTGTGTTGGTGAGAGAGTGAACTGGATTGTGATTGAAGATGATGTTTATCATTGAGAAGGTCGGAGGGGGTCTGTTTATCTTTGAAAAGGTCTGAGGGGCTCTGTTTATCTTTGAGAAGGTCTGAGGGGGTCTGTTTATCTTTGATAAGGTCTGAGGGGATCTGTTTATCTTAGAGAGGTCTAACTCTGAATGTGTAAGAAATCAGTGAGAATGAGATTTTAAACTGTAGGATACTCAGGGAGACTAATAACCAATATTTGAGGCTGATATTCATTTACCATAAATTTGATGTTTGTAGTGTGGGATTTTACAAGAACACAACTCACAACTCACATTACATGAATATAAGAAATATTATAAAAAAATAAGTGATTCAAGCTTTAGACAGTACAGTTTGTAAAAACTTAAAACATTTGAAAAGTAAGCTTATCTTTAAACATAAAAATAAATAACTTAAATAGCTCTGTGTTTCACCACCTGTGATTTGTGTAAGAAAAAGTGAGCTCAAAAACTTTAAACTAAATAAATTCTACAAATTTACAGAATTTTTATATAAATAAGATATGAGTCATCGACAGTGTTGAAAATTAAAATAATTTTGTGGGCTGGACAGGATTGTGCCAAGAGCCTGACAAGGCCCACAGGCCTTGTGGTTGACACATGGGTCCTAGATGAATATAATGAAAGTAGTCTAGGAGAGTGAGAGCAGTTTAGGAAAGTGAAAACAGTCTGTAAAGCTGCTTTTTGACAACACCTGTTGTAAAAAGTGCTATACAAATAAACTTACTTACTTACTAGGAGAGTGAAATAGTCTAGCTGAGTGAGAGCAGTCTATGTGAATGAGAGCAATGTAGGAGAGTGAAAGTAGTCTAGGTGAATGAGAGCATAGACGTTAGAGCCTGCATAAAATGGAATCAATATCCTGGAGAGATAAGGAGCAGATAATTACTGTCTTCAGTAGTTCAATCATTCTAAATCCACACACACACACACACACACACACACACACACACACACACACACACTTCTGAATACAATTATTCATACCTGAGAGTGCTCAGTGTGCATTGTGGATCCTCCAGTTTGGCAGAGAGCTGCTTCACTCCTGACACTCCTGGGTGATTGTAGGTCAGATCCAGTTCTTTCAGATGTGAGGGGTTTGAAGTCAGAGCTGAAACTAGAAAAGAAAAGCCTTCCTCTGTGATCATACAACCAGATAATCTGCAAAAAATAAATAACAATAAGACAGATGACAGAGTGAGATAGATGATTCACATTGATATCAAACTGGACAGAAACATACTAAAACACAATTTCACACAAGCATACAAATAAACAATCTCAGTGGCAAGAGTGGCAGAAATGGTTTTTGACATTAATATATTTTGCTAATCTTTAGAACTTCTCCCTTAAATGACAAAACAAGTTCAATTTAATTAGCCCTTAGAACCTCATTAACTCCGCTCCATCTTCTCAGTTTCATAACTCAGGAATGGAATAACACAGACAAGAAACACATGATAAAGCAATCTATATACACAGACTATTTACTTTGGTCTGGAATGTTTATCTGAGCGAATGTAGACCATTAAGTATCAGTTGTGTCATCAAGTTCCTCAGAAAGAAGAAAACATTTACAAGCTCATCAAGTGGTTCAAAAAAGGCAAAATTGAAAGATGTGGACAAATAAATATTGTTCATAAAAAAGATAATGCTAGCAAACTTTTGTCTGAGTAGTCCAGAGTCTCCTGAAAAAAATTACACATGGTATATATGACTGCTTTTAGGCTTATTATATTGTAATCACCAGTGAAATAAAACTAGCCTGTTCATTATTCATTATTTATTAGCTGATCTTTAACCTAATCTAAAAGATCTGCAGTGTCAAGATAAACTCCATAAAAGCTTAAGGACAAATTACTGATAGGAACCAAGACACAAAAGGAAAAATTCATTAAGAACATGAGAAAGAACCACTGAGAAAAACCAAGACTCAAAACAGGAACCCATCCTCTACTGGGCTGCACCAGATACAGCAGTTATAGAGACATGGATATAGAAAAGAGAGAAATCAGGGTGAAAGAGAAAATACAATGTGTAACTAACATGAACATTTAAATGCATACTTTTGCTGTGTAGCATTGCATGAACTTATACCACTCCCCACACACTTGATCCATTTTGCAATTATGCCTCCTCATCAGTCTGTTGTGATCAGGTTGATTCTGATGGCATGTGTATGATGCTGAATGATCGTGTGTGTGAAGCGCTTTGTGGTGCAGTTTTCCAGATCACTATTGACCCAATGTTTGTACAGATGGTTGGAAAAACATTGATGTTTTTAAATTATGTTTAAATGAGCATTTAAATCACTCCTGTCAACTAGAAACCTTCGTTAAAACATAAACTTTCATTTTGCTGGAATTTAACTTAGTACTGTGACCAATTTATAATTCAAAGTTAAATACAGTAGAAACCTCATGTTGTTTTATGATGTAAAATTAGCACAGCTTATTATTTATCATTCAATAATACACTTAAAAAAAGAAACACTGACCTGAGTGTTTTCAGTTTACAGTGTGAACTCTTCAGTCCAGCAGAGAGCAGCTCCACTCCTGAGTCATGTAGGTCATTGTTGCTGAGGTCCAGCTCTTTCAGGGAGCCGTTTTCCAGTTGTAAAAGTGATTCAAGACTTTTACAGGTCTCTACTGCAAGGTTACACAAAGCTAGTCTGCAAACAAAAAAATAAAAACATAGATTTTACAAAAGCACCTTTTTCTAAATCTTTACTTAAAAAGGAAGATTAGAAATTGAAGTTTGGATGAGTACGGAAGGTTCCATGCTGGCGTTTTTAGTAGAGGCTTCACCTGTGTCACATGTGGACAAATTTAATTTAAAATAACTTTGCTAGCTCCTGATAATGAAAAGCAGAGAAAGGTGTCATCACTAATTTAGAGTCAGAAAGGTTATCAGAACTTGTTGCAGTAGGCTGAGCTATGCTGTGTCTTATCAGTAGTTATTTTGTTTTGAAAATTAATTGCAACCTTTGCAAATTTGAGAAGATAATCACTATGTGATTGTGACACTACCTATGTGACACTACCAGAAAAGGTATAGTTACCTTTGGTGGGTAACTATACATTGTGGTGGGAAAAAGGCCTTTGGCATTATCTTTGTGCTGAGGTAAGATTGACTGAATATAATATTATTGCCTTGTTTTAAGTTTGGATCTGCTCTTTAAGAATATCATAATGTACCTGCAGTCTAGTTTTCCTCCACAAGTGCTCTGAGTTATGACAGTCTTTTTTAAGCTGGTGTGTTTCCTCATTTGTCCAGTGACTTCTATGAGTACAAGATTTTTTCTTCCATTTGTCTTGAGAGTGTAAAGGGCTTCCATTAATTTAGCATTAAGATCAGAGACTAGATTATGATATGAGGGAGTCAGAGCTGTGTTTGATGCACTTTTATAAATATTTTTAATCTTTTCAACAATTTAAAAACAGTTGCTTTTTTATTTGACACATTATGTGCAAATGTTTGGACAACCTACTATGAGAATACTTAATAACATCCCTAATAACACCTTTTGTAGTCAGTCAGTCTTTCTGTTCTTGTTTCTGGAATTTGCACCCACTCATCCTTGCAGAACGCTTCTAGTTCTGCGATATTCTTGGCTCATGCAAGATTTTCAATGATGTTCAAGTCAGGGGACTATGAGGGCCATTCAAAAAGCTTCAGCTTGCATCACTGTCCTGTTGTAGAAGCCTGTTTGAAGCTCCAGTTTCTTTACTAACATTGTGTCACATACTGTAAACTTGAAATTGCCTTAATTAAATTAAATTACCTTAAAGTTAATTGCCTCATGTAAATTAAGTTTCTGGTTATAAGTCAATCTCACAATATAATCTATGTTGGCAAAATATATCAATTAAATTATAGTTTAAATTGCTGTATAGTTGAGGCCAGGCCAACTCCTTTGTGCATGCTCATTTTGACTCATTGGTTGAACAAGGTCAATGGAGCAATTCTGCTGGGGTTTTTGTCTTCTGCTGAGATGTTCTTAAACCATTTTGCGATTTCCCACATGACAAGCAATCTCTTTGGTTCTCTTGAAGTGTAACTTGATGTCCAGTAGGTGAGTATTTTGGTGCAATGTTCATTATCTACAAATTCTGCCTTTGTCATAATATCCAAATCGGTCATGCTTTGGATATGCTACCCAGCGCTATGCCTGCCAGTTAGATAGTTAAGTAACAGCTAGTTAGACAGCAGATGTCAATGCTAATGTTAACTTAACATTAACTGGCAAACACATTTGTTAATGGTGTATTTGAGAAATTGATTATCTGATAATACACATGCTAGCTAGCTACATTTCTAGCGGATATACTGACGAAACACAGCTGCCAGATCACTGCTTGCTGGGGTCTGAAGTTGTAACTCCATCATGAGAATTGATTACTTGGTATGAGTGGTAGAGTGAAAGACAAATATGTATTTATTTTTACTGCAGTGAGTAGCCTACAAGGCCCATCAGCCTAATCTGTCCAAAACTGTTTTAGTAAAAGAAAATTTTGATTATAAAAAGTAGCAATTTGAGATATTAAGGTGATGCTGTGAAAATAATTGGAAGTGAATGATGAATTGTGTAAAAAAAATAAAAAAAATCAAGCAGATCCCAGTGGCAGCTACAACAGCAACAAGAACTGGAATAATAGCAGATGATGTCCACAGGATAAAGAGCTAGCCTTGTTCTGAAGAGAACTGAAGTGGGAAGCAGGATGTACAGTTTTGTCAGCTTGAATCAAGAAGTTTTATTGAGGCACCATCTATTATGACATGGAAGGGGAGCTCACTGGCCCTGTGTATACAGTGACTGTGTGTGTACCTTCAAAATGTGGTGCATTATAATCACACCTCACCAGAACACACTGTAGGACTGTAAAAGGGCAGGAGATGTCAACCTTTTCCTGTGATTTATGTGAATTTAGAGAAATGTGTACTCCATGCACTTTATTCACTCATCTTGGATGTCAATTTAAAAGTCTATAGACTGTGTGTTGCCTTTTCCTGCAGTGTGACCAATCAACATACGTGTTTAATCAAGAAAATAAACCAGGTCAGAACAGGTCCTTTTGAGATGGTCAGTACTTCAAACACAGTAAACTTTTGGGGGTACAAGAGTATTTCTATAGGACTGTACATTGATGATTTTAAAGTATGTAATCCTTTTGGGATATCTAGAAAAAATCATAAGATTACTTCTGCCTATTTTGTTTGCTTAGTTTACCGATTTTCGTTCTATGCTGCCTTTAATTCAGCTGGCTGTTCTTGGAAAGAGTGTTGATGTTAAACTGTTTGGCCTTGTCCTTTGCATACAGAGCAATATATAATTTTGTGATGATTGTTTTGTCTGTATACATGACCCACAAATAATCTTTAATGAAACGTGGCAGATTTTCCTTTTTAATCAGTTGGTCGAACCAATTGTCGCTGTTAGCTGACCATAGAGATTAATCCAGCATTGAGGGCTATTTTCTCACTTGCATAGTGAGCATCAGATATAGATATACTGCTGTGTTATACCTCATCAGCCACTTCCAAATTTTCCACCTTAAACAATGCTGCCGTAACATTGGGCACCAGAAGGTAACTGCTGCCCTGTTTAAGGTGGACCAGAAAATTTGAAAAAGAAGCTGGTGAGAAGGAAGCCAAGTTCAGCCTTGTTTTTAATTAACCAGAGAGATAAAATAGAAATTTTGGCCATATGGTCGATTAAACACGCTCTTGTGGGGTCATGTATAAAGACATTAAGCATCACAAATGTCTCTTTTTCACCTCATCTGCTAACGCAAAAGTAGTTGTAAGCTCGTCGGCCGCCATGTTTTTAGATACAGGCTTTTCCACTAAGCGTGTTGTTAGCCCTGCCCTGATGGGATGATTGGCATGCTCAAGTCCATGACAATGAAATCGGATCGAATGTATTTTCAAAGGCAATTTGCCACAGAATGAATGCAGTAGGAAGGAATATGTAATTGTAAAGAGGAGAGGCACTCATTTCCTTTTTACATTTAAAGTTTGGCATCTTTCTAGCTTGGTATTCTCTTTGCAATTTCAAAAGCATTATTAGAGAGTGAAAAGAGAGTTTTGACACTGTTATTGCATAATAACATTAAGCATAAATATGATGCTCTGGAAATACATTTAAATTTAAATAAAGCTACTCATAAAGCATCTAAATGTTTGTGCAAATGAAATGTAAATGCTAGTGCACCAAAAGGCAAATTAAAATTGCAGTATTGAATTTGAATTTGAATTTTTCTTTTTTTTTCACATTGCATAAATGAGTGGGAAATTTAAATGCAAACATACAAATACATTGCTATTTTACGTTACATTTTGATTTTATTTTTGATACTGATATGTTTCTACAGGTGTATGTTGTATTCACACTTTTTACATTTTATTAGGGTGATTGTTGTACAGCTGTATTTCAGTCTGAAATTGGTACAACTTCCTGGTTTCACCCAGTGGCAGATCCAGATGATAAGCAAACCAAAGGTGTCACACGTATCAGAGTCTCAGGCACCAGTGTCAGCCAGCAGAACACTACAATATGCTTCAGCCCACATGCTGTTTCACATAGTTAACCAATGTTTTCAGTTCAGTTTTACTCCTTTCTCTAGATAAACATTCTTGCATTTGAATTGTGAGACTTGCCTGTTCTTTATGTTTTGTAACCAAAGGTATACCATTGTTTATGCTATATGTGAGTGTTTAAATGCAAATAATACACCACACTTAACAAAAAAGGTTGTTCAATGGTACTTTAGTAAAGAAAAAGGTTCTGTATAAAACCATGAACACTCAAAGAACCCTTTGCATTGTGAAAGCGTTCTTCAGATTAGTGGAGAATGTGTTTTATATGGTTCTATATAGCACTAAAAAGCTATAAGCTTGAAATTGTTACAATAGCAGAGCCCCTTTTGGTGCTAAAAGGAATTCTTTTCAAAAAGAAAAAGTTCTTTTCTACATACAATCATGTATAGCACCTCAATCTGAAGATCCAGGAGGTCACAAAAGAACGAAAGAAAGACACTGGGCACAAATGGCATCCATAGGACAGTTACAAATTAATGCTGACCAAAAAGAACACAAAGGTTTGTCTCACTTTTGCCAAAAATCATCTAGATGTAAAAGACTAATCACAAGTTATTGCAAACGTTTGCAGTTGTTACTGCCAAACTTGGCACTACTAGTTATTAGGTTTAGGGGGCAATTATTTTTCACATGGATGACAAAGGTTTTGAATCTTTATCTTTAATAAATGGAATGATTGTTTAAAAGCTGCTTTTTGTGTTTAATAATGTTGTCTTTATGTTATATTAAAATTAGATGGATCTGAAATATTTAAATACCCAGAAGGATGAGCGGTTTAGATGATGTGTGTGTGTGTGTGTGTGTGTGTGTGTGTGTGTGTGTGAAATATTTAAATGTGAAAAATTAGAAAAAATAGAACAGATCAGGTGAGGGGTGAATACTTTTTCACAGCACTTTGGATGAAACATTTCTGTACTAGCAGCTTTTGACAAACTTGCAGCAAAAGTTGGCCCCCTGCAATATTTCAGTATTTTCACTAGAAAGCATGTCAGGAAATACTTACAAATAAAGAGTATTTATCAAACTGTTCTACATTGTTTTCAAAATCTGTGGGTTTCCTTCCAGAATATACTGACAGGAACACTGACCTCAGTATCTCCAGTTTACAGTCTCCAGTCTTCAGTCCAGCAGAGAGCAGCTCCACTACTGAATCCTGCAGCTCATTGCTACACAGGTCCAACTCTTTCAGGGAGGAGATTTTTGTTTGCAGGGCTGATATAAGAGTTTTGCAAGACTTCACAGTGAAATTACAGATGGCTAATCTGCAAAGAGATGTTAAATACAGTTGAGAACATAGTTTATTCATGTAAATATAGAATCATACAGAAGTGCATTAATGAGACTGACAAAGCAAACATCATTCCAACCTCTGTTACTTTGTTATTTCTTTTTGTAATTAGGGACGTGGTCATCAGTGTCTTTACATTCAGAACTGATTGTTCCTTTATTTAATTTGTATGACATTTTTTTATTTTTATCATAGATAGCTGTTCATGTATGGGAACATATAACGTCTACCATTAATAGATTTACATTTACTAGTGTTCCAAACATTGGAATCAATGTATTAAATCATTTAAAACCAGTTATTTTGCAGGCATACATACACTTTGTTGCCAGTTTAAGTACAAGTACACTGTATCTACACAGAGTGGCCATTTAAACTGACTGATCTGCCAATTATGTGTGCAGTGTAAATTTACTGACTATAGTCCATCTGTTGCTGCACAATTTACTAGCCCCCCATATGTCATTGATCAGCAGAAAGGGATCACCATAGGACTACTGCTGACTGGATATTGTTTGAGTGAGGGGTTGGGCTGCACAAATAATAATAGTATTACCACCATCCATGATTTTCCAGCTGAGATAACAAATCAAAATACAGTACACACACATGGTATCAAGATGACATAATGATATTGGAAAGAATGTATCTTTGGAGACATGCTTAAAATTAGCAGTAAATGTCTTAACTACAGTACTATAATCATTTGCTATTTTGTGTAATTGCTGTTTACAGTTGTAATTGTGTGTTAGTTTATTGGTAAGGCATGTGTTTAGTGTTGCAATGGATGACTTAACTTAACACCTAACATTATATAGTCATACTTGAATATAGAATGATATGCTAAAATTAAAATTACAAATTTTTATTATTCTATAATGGGTAAAAATTAAATAAACTAAATAAATTTAGTGTGTAATTCCTGTGTAATCCCTGCTGCTAAATTAAGAATAAACTCTTTTGCACTATGATATTAATCTGTGTTTGCATGGTAAAATTTTCATGCAATATTAGTTTCTCGAACCTAACGCAAACCTACATTTTATTCATGTTGAATGATGTAATGTGACTATTGTAGTAATTTTCTTTACTTGCTGATAAGTAGTTAGGGTAGAGAGCTAGCTCACAAGCTAAAGGTAAGCAAGCTAAAGATGAAAGCTGATTTATGTAGCTAGGTTATTATTGTCTCCTCTCTTTAAATAAAATGAATATGAAGATGCAAATGTAGGCTAATAAACACATCAAATTATTTTACATAGCCAGAACAATGCAATATATTAAAAATAATAACTACTAGTCTTGCTATCTACTTAAAGATGTATTGAAAATAATTATTTTTCATTGTGTTGATACATTTTTAATTTTATTTGCGTATTAGGTTGCATGACACCTTTCATGCAATTTCCTAATTATTTCCCAAATGCAATTTGTAATTTGTTAATTATAAGCTTATGAATGAAGAGTAGCATTGAACAAATATAATAGACCTTTAATGATTTTCAAAACTACAAAAACTTAGAGCTATAATGTCCACTGCAAAATGAACAAAAAAAAATTGGGGTGTTAGTTTTTGTATTTTCATTGCATGAAAAAGTTTAGTAAAGAATCCCCTCTTTCTCTTTGGCTGCCATTAAGAAAAGCTTATAGCCTAGCCGAATATAAGCTAATTTAGCATTGTTAAAATAGCAAATTCCATCTGAACAAAACTACAGCCAAGTTTGGGATTACTGAGAGTCTGAATCAGTCTCTGACTAAAGATGACTGTACCTGTTGTCAACAAAGGTAAAAAAAAAGTCTCTTTATGAGGGAACATTATATTAGTCACACCTTTGGAAAGTTTTTCTGGGGAGGAAAAAGAAACTGTTGTAACTGTAAATGAAATACAGATAGATTTCATATTAAACTACTTCTGTTACTATTTCTGTTAAATATATAGTGTTTTAAGTGAAAAATAGCAATAATAACTTGTACTGGAAATTAAATAAATGAACAGGATGATCACCTAATGTTGCACAGTACTGTATAGAAACAAAAATTAGTTGCATACTTCTATAAAGCTGAAAATGAACATTGGGATTCTGACCTGAGTATCTCCAGTTTACATTGTGAACTTTTCAAACCAGCAGAAAGTATCTCCATTCCTGAATCCTGCAGATTATTTTTACTGATGTCTAGTTCTTTCAAGGGCCAGGTTTCTGATTGTAAAGCTGATCCCAGATATCCAGATGTATTCCTCCCAAGATTACACAAAGCTAATCTGCAAAAAAAAGAGGGCAAATATAGGTAATCGACACAAAAAATAACACATTTGTAGTTTTATAATTATAGATTTCTGCATATTTTCTGCATGCTCTAGCCCCCTGCCTCACTCTCATCACTAGTGAAAACCACCACTGAGCATTATTATGGTAATGGATCATCAGACAGATAGAATAAATTTGTAATTATAGAACTACAAAGTGTAATGAATCCATGAAGAAACATAAGTGAGAAAATGTCTGAGGGCAATTAGCTCATTTCAACAATGAAAACAAGACCATTTTAAATTAATAAAACTTAGGCTAAGAAAACCACATATTCATCAATGGTTCACATTTTTAAGTCTATCTGACACTTCAGGAACTGTTCATTGATCATTTATGATTTCCTGTTTCATTGTGGCACAAAATGACTGAGACACAGGGGCCAATTCCCATAGTTATTCATCAGCATGTGGAAGATTAAAAAATACATTAAGGAAATGAGACAAAGTGTGTAGACTTTCATAATGCACAAATGACTATTAAAGAACAGCTACACTGTTGAAAACCTCTTTGATGAGCTTAGGAAGAATGTCTAAAAGAAAGGACCTAGAAACCTTGAAGATCTGGAGATAATCTGTATTGAAGAATTCCTTGCTTTATATTTTCCATAACCTATAATCTCATCAAACATTATAGGTTATGTCAGCAAAGCAGAGGTGCCAATAACTGTGACACACATGATTATGTTGAAAAATAATGTTTGATAAGGTTATTTGTTTTCTTTTGTTTTTTAAATGCAGCTCAATTTAAGATTATATCAATATATATATCAATCTCAGATTAAACATTTTTATGAATTTCTTAACCATCTATATCAAGGCTGCCAATAATTATGGAAAAATCTTACCTGAGTATCTCCAGTTTACAGTGTGAACTCTTCAGTCCAGCAGAGAGCTTCTCCACTCCTGCATCCTGCAGGTCATTATTACTGAGGTCCAGTTCTTTCAGGGAGGAGGTTTCTGTTTGTAAAACTGACTGTAGAGCAACACAGGATTGGTAACGGAGTTTACACACAGCAAGTCTGCAAAAGGAGAGTAAAAACAATACATCATAACAGTACACCAAAAGTATAATAGTATAGTATAGAAAGTATAATAGATGCATATTGTCACAGTGTTATAGAATTGCCGAATTTCATGATTTTTTAAAATTCTGACCTGAGTATCTCCAGTTTACAGTGTGAACTCTTCAGTCCAGCAGACAGCAGCTCCACTCCTGAACCCTGCAGATCACTGTTACTGAGGTCTAGTTCTCTCAGGGAGGAGTTTTCTGTTTGTAGAGCTGCACTTAAAGTTTTGAGGGACTGTGAAGTGAGACTACAGCCAACAAATCTACAGGTGAGGAAGAAAATAAAATGAGTAAAATATATCATAATTCAACTGTGTTTGCATTTGGAATTATCTGAATAACTTGATATTGTCTTTTAGTCTTGTACTCCACCGACATGGTTTTGTGACACATTACCTTGGCTCCTCCCTTCTTTTCTCCTACTTGCTTAATTAACAGCCATTAATTGTTTGCAAATTTCCCTGGACTTAATGGAGGAATTTGACAGAGCAAGTAATCACAGGCTGTTTTTTTGCATATTAATTTATAAAAGGAACTTGAGTGTTCTCTGTTAAGATTAACCAATACAGTGAACACATATTGTATTACATATACCTGCTGCTGCATCTGTCTAACTGCAAGGACCATTGGATTTTCAATGCAAAAGAAATTATACCCATATATACCCATAAATATACCCATTCTATAACACAGAACAGAACAGGAGTAGAAACCAACAGATAGACATGAAATAATTTTAAGCCATCAGGAACTGGCAATACACAAACACATCCTGCAGGACTGTCTTTGTACAGTAGTGTTTAGTGAATACTTCTGTCTGGAGTCTGGATTAATACTTGTACATGTACATGTGTAAAGTATGTAATAGTTTATGTAATCTATCAAACTTTTAATGTGCAGTCTACCTGTAGACTTGAAGAAGCTCCAAATGCAATAGAAAAGACACAATACTCTGACTTAACCTTTTTAGACCCCTTTGACTACCTAGAATTGCTTGACATTTTGTGCCGTCTACAAGTCATAACACAGTATTAATATTAGCTTAATAGTTGTTATGTTATAGTTGTTACACTCACCGAGCCTTTCTGCAGTTTGTGATAGCTGGGATGAGTCTTCTGTATCCCTCCTCTGATGTGTTGTAATTCTTCAGGTCAAATTCTTTCTTCACAAGCTCTGAATGGAGACGCGTGTACGTTATGACTGAGCACTGTGCAGGAGAAAGCTTCTTTTTTGAGGATTTATCTGGAGTTAGAGAGAGACAATGGAAATCTTTCAGAGCCCATCATCATTCAGCAACAGGAACTGTTTCAATATATGACAGATGTTTAAGTGAACAGTGGCAGAGCGATGAAACTTAATTTTGTAGGTGGCTTTTATGAATATTCATTAGCTATAAGCTTTTGATATTTTTGGTCCATTGTTTCCAATTAAATTAAATAATTAAAATTATCTATTTTTAAGTCATTTAAATGTATTCTATTTTAAAGGTTGTGGCACTGTATTACTTGTATTCCCCTGTTGTTGTTTTTTTAAAATGGCCAACCCTGTCTTTGTCTTCTCATAAACTCCTGTGCGCTCAGTATCTGCTTGATCTTTAATCCCTGCCATGGACTTGGATATGCTCTGATTAACAAACTATGTTCATGCTATCTGTCTTCTCTGTTACAAAGAAGTTTTTTCAGAGCTCTCGCAGCGGTCATTGGGCAGAAGGGAGGGTACACCCTGGACAGGTCGCCAATCCATCGCAGGGCGAACAGACAGACATACACCAATCAGGCATTACATTATGACCACCTCCTTGTTCATTTTATCAGCTTCACTTACTGTATAGGTGCACTTTGTCGTTCTACAATTACAGACTGTAGTCCATCTGTTTCTCTGCACACTTTGTTAGCCCCCTTTTACCCTGTTCTTCAGTGATCAGGACCCCCATGGACCCTCACAGAGCAGGTACTATTTGGGTGGTGGATCATTCTCGGCACTGCAGTAACACTGATGTGGTGGTGGTGTGTTAGTGTGTGTTCTGCTGGGCTGAGTGAATCAGACACAGCAGTGCTGCTGGAGTTTTTAAACACTTACTGTCCACTTACTGTGCACTCTATTACCTTGCTGGTCCATCTTGTAGATGTAAAGTCAGAGACAGCAGCTCATGTGTGTCAGCATAGTTTGTGTTGGTCATCCTCTATACCTTCAACAGTGGTCACAGGACGCTGCCCACAGGACGCTGTTGGCTGGATATTTTTGGTTGGTGGACTATTCTCCATCCAGCAGTGACCCTGAGGTGTTTAAAAACTCCAGCAGCACTGCTGTGTCTGATCCACTCAGACCAGCGCAACACACACTAACACACCACCACCACCACGTCAGTGTCACTGCAGTGCTGAGAATGATCCACCACCCAAAGAGTACCTGCTCTGTGAGGGTCCATGGGGGTCCTGACCACTGAAGCACAAGCAGGGAGAAATGTCTAAAGATGGATTATTGATTCATTTCATGACGTTTTATGGTCAAAAAAATTAAAATTAAGGTCAAAAAATTTCAAATTAAAACATTTTAGATGCTCATGTAAACCTGTTTTATTTAACAACAGAGAAAATTTTCTAAACATGTTATTTTCCTTTTTATGTTATTTTCTTATGGTCATAACCATGTTCATGGTAGAATTTCAGCAAATGGCCGTTTGTTGACCAAGCTATGCCTGTGCATGGGACTCTGCATGCACGTGAATAAAACTTGGAATCTGAAGATCCAGTCACCTGACTCTTCCCCAAAATACAGATAAACCTACCCTCATTTCAAACCCTGCACACAGGATGCAGTGAATTCTCTTGCCCAGCAAAACAGTGCTATTTGTCTTTATGTCTGAATTTCTGAAGTAATTTGTCTCCTATCCATCTCACACACATGCTTATGCATGTCAGAGACACATTACATGTCATGTGTCAGTTCCAGTGGCTTGTGAGGACCAGGCCCAGAAATGTCATCTGAAGAAGGTGATGTTGTACCAGTACTTTGCCCATTATTGAATATCACACTGTTAAATCAGATATAATAATCTACAGTGTTACATTATTTAAATATATATTTAAATTATTTTGCAGATACTCTTATCTTGTGCACCCAAAATGGTCGGTAAATCCAGTGATGCTCCTCCCTAGATAAGAAACCAAACCTACTGCCATGTGTAGGGTCATGTTATTCATTATGCTATTCATTTATGTGAGTTGAAAAGAAAGGAAACACCACTAGTGACAACACACTGCTGCAATTTTGTTGTAATTATCAGCAGTATTTCCAATATCAGACTGATAATATTGAATTTCCTATTTATAAAATGTTGCTGATAAATTGTGACATTAAAACCAGAAAGTCAAACAAGCAAAAATGAGCAATGCTAAATGTTGCAGGGATCACTGATGTTTTCGAGGGCCCAAAGCATATCCTATTCGTGAAATATATATATTGTCTATTGCACCCTCCAAATCAATCCACTGATTGTGTTGCCTTTCCTTTACATACATACATCATCTAAACCACTTATCCTTCTGGGTCGCGGTGGGGTGCTGGAGCTTATCCCAGCTGTCACTGGGCCGAAGGCAGGATACACCCTGGACAAGTCGCCAGTCCATCGCAGGGCAGACATACACAGTCACACACACACTCACACCTAGGGGCAATTTAGCATGTCCAATTGGCCTGACTGCATGTTTTTGGACTGTGGGAGGAAACCGGAGTACCCGGAGGAAACGACGGAAGAAATGACCCTGGTCGCCCGGTCGGGAATCGAACCCAGGCCATTCTTGCTGTGAGGCGACAGCGCTACCCACTGCGCCACCGTGCCGCCCTCTTTCCTTTACATACTTTCACTTATTTTGATTGTGTATGAGTAATATTAAAATATTATGTGTATGGAGCCCTAAGTCTCCATATTTCACACAGCATGTTGATCAAATATGAACAGCAGCTAATCTGGTCAGTTCTATGTAAAACATGTTCCTTTTATAATAAATAAGGACTGTCCATGAAATGTTGCTGTAATGATTGTAATCTCTCTTTACACACAAACAATGTCTAAACATTGCCTAGTATAGTAACAGACCAGAATCAGGAGTGTGAAATTATTTATGTTGCTAAAATTCATGGCATTGCATTTATACAGAGGTAACACTGTTTCTGTGTAAACTCTCATACACTGTTCTGTTTGTCCCCTGTATAAATGCTTCTCACCAATACTGAGTTGTCAAGCAGCAAACTTCATGATTTCCTCTTGAAGTAAGCAACCCAGCAGAACCATATTGACTGTACTGTAGAAAACTACAACAGGTTGTGTATTTTCAGTTGTGCACATGCATCTCAAAACTTCTCTAAGTGTGCATCACAATGAAAAAAATTGTTTTACCAAAATATTTATTAAAAAAATTAAACAAAATAGAGAGCTTTTGCTTGGCTTATGATCAGCAGTGCCTGAGCAGTGGTTTATAAATCTCTTGCACTGCGTTTCCTCAGTGATTTACGTCCACAATTAGCTTGTAAAAGCTGCGTGCTGTGAGGCTGTGTTTTGTGGAGAATCTCAATTTCATTTTGTTTAAATATTGCATATTTACCTATTTGTCAATAAACAGCAATTTCTTAGCATTTAGAAAATATTTTTTGATCAATGCATATGGCTCAGTATTCAATATTTCTCTTTTACAATTGATACAGGTGTGTTACATTATAAAAGATGAATACTAAATGAATGAATCGTTGCACCACTCCTTCTGGTACTTTAAAACAAGAATTAAAATGTTGTTTTAGAATAGCAATAAGTGAAAGAAGAAAATGTGGTCCATTTGAACACTTTTTAAAGAGGAAATGAGGTGCAGGGAAATTAATTAAACATTTACTGCTCATTTTTAACTAGAAAATCTGACAAAGGACTTTTTTGAAAGAGTGATCATACTGAAGTATACGGTCTCCCATAAGATGACACTGCAAAACATTATCTTTACATTCACACAATCTAAATATGGAAGATGTTGTTGTAAGCAGTTCAAAGTTATTCCTGAAAGTGATGAATAAAATTTACCTTTCATGATGTAAGCTGTAAACGCAATTAATATAACAGCAAACACTGAAATGCAGATGATGGCAATCTTCCAACCATGAAAATGTTTTCCTGAAATACAAACCAGATAAAAATGTACAGCAGCCCCAAACATGTAATAGAACACATAAGTATAAAAATAATAATAAATTGTTTCTTAAATATAGTTATTTAATAAGGACACTAGCTGTTAAGTGATGTGACCCTGTCCAGGGGCGAAGAACCTAATTTGTTACTATATTTTTTTTTTTTTTTTTTTCTTTTATTTTTCTTTTATTATCATCATAACAGCACAGTTTGTTCAAAGGGGTTCAGACATGGTAGATTCACTTATCTGTGTTACACAGTGTGATCAGCTCCATACTTTCCCTTTTAAATAAGTGAGATTTACACACTGAACCCATACTTTTATTTAAACACAGCCTTTTCTGCACTTTTTACACTCCTGACACTCCTGTCTCACATACTGAATGTGTCCTAAAATAAATTCACATTTTAGATTTAAAAGACAGCTAATTTAATTTACACAGTAAACAAACCAGTGTTTGTTAGCAATGTTAACCAGTAACCCCAGCACTAAAAAGCAAAATTTGAACACATGTCTTGGCTGTTTGGCTACATCTGGGGTAAGTGGGAAATGGTGAAAATTTTTCCAAAACCCTGATTTGATTAATTGAAACGCTGTCTGTGATAAATGATTGGATAAAAATTACTATGAAACTGAATCAATACTCTTGTTGCACATTAATAGTTCATAAGTAATGATGCACTGAAATCATGATGGTTCTTACCTTTAACTTCAACATAAACAATTACATCATCATACCAGGTTGGAGTTTCAATGAGACATTTATAGGCTCCTTCATCAGAAAGTCGCAGTGCTGAGAGTTTCAGTGAAGTGTTCCTTTCTTCAGTATTCTTATAGAGTTGTTCTCCTCTGTAAGATTCCAATTGATCTAAATTCTATCTTATTATGTTCATACTAGATGCACTATTCTGTCACCCAGATGCAGTCTGGACCACTCAACTGTCATGTCCACAGCACTGACGCTGGGTTGGAGAGAACAGGGCAGAACCAGATCTTCACTAACTTCAGCAACAAGAGGAGCAGCTGGACCAACTACTTTTAAGTGTACTAGAAAGAAAAAAAAACATAAGTCAAGGTAAATGATGCATCCACTTCTGTTACTCTCTCAGTGTAGTCTTAAAGGGGAATTCGATCAATATTTCAAAATTTCTACATAATTCAGTCACTGAAATGCAGAACAAAGTCATATAAAAAGGTTTTGATGTGGAAAAGGTTTCCTTGTAGAGTTAACTGTACTGAACTCAGATGTTCTTTACAGTGATGGTGAGGGAACCAGGGGTCACAATGTCCACAATGCACAAAATTAACTATTTCTATTCCAAACCTTCCATGAACCTACACGTGTCTGCTGAGTTTTTATATGCAGTGCTGATGATGGTAAAATAGTGGTTAATCTGAAAAAAATAAATGGTTTTATTTGGCTTTGGGGACAGTATTTATTGTTTTGTACATTTATTGTCTGGTGTGTTTATTGTATATTCTGCACTTGTTTTTCACACTGTAGTGTATCTGCACTCTGTGTACTCCTGTGTAATGTACTGCTATTGTGTGCTGCAGCAGTGGGGACCCTGAGGATACATTTTGTTGTCCTCTGGTATACAAATTTATAATTGAGGAATGACAATAAAGACCACTTGACTTGAATTTCCCTTAAATTCTAAAGCACTTCTAAATCTATAGCACTCCAATTTTCTGGTCACAATATCATTAGACACCTAAGTAGGATCAGTATAGCACACTGATCACTTGTGTCCCCACCTATCGGGATGTAAGCTAGGCTTTTTTGGCCAGTTTGGTGTGCAGTTTTTTTGACACCCGTGGCCAAATGACATTTTTTAGCTGATTTCTGAAGTGAAAAAAAAGTAAATACAACCTGTGCAAAAATATTTTGCAAGACCCCCTGCACTCGAAAACCTTTTTTTTTTTTAATGGTTAATTCTTCTTGCATGGATTATTCTTATTCTTCTTGTTCTTCTTGTTCTTCTTATTATTATTATTATTACTTTTATTATTTATTAGTTAGTTAATATTTATATTATATATATATAGTCCAATATGCAAAGTTGGAATGCCCCAGTCAAATTATGTTTTTTTTTTTTTTTTTGCATATCTAAGTGCATAGTTTCAATTTCTTGGAGGTTAACATACTGGAAAAAAATAAAAATAAAATGTGCCTTAATTTTTGCACAGCAAATAAATGATAATTGTGTATTACAACATAAACAAATTACATTTTGTGCAAATGTACAAAACATTCTCAACAAAACATAATTTCTCCCAAACTTTTGCATGAACTACAGACTGTTATTTGTGTCCAATGTGTTACCACAGTGTAGAGTTCACATTTTTCTATTGAAAACACAGACATTCTTTTGAGAGGTACTGTGTTGCAGCTTGTTTTTTGTGTCATGAAAGAGCTTGAACCTATCATGGCCCAGTAGTTTCCACATCAGAACCCTTGTTTAGAGCTACAGAACATTGCCCTTGTTGCTAAATGTGGGCCCTGTTTCAGTAAGTTTTTTTAAGTGTGGCAGTTTAGCGCTTAAGGCTAAAATAAATGAATGATGCTAGTACTTAAAATTAGAACAGTGTAAAATGTGGCAAGAAAGTTGTAACATCACCAGCTCACTGAACCCCACTGCAAGTTTGTAGAATAAAACACAAATCTAAGTGTAAACCTTTATTTTTGTGCCGTCCTGTTAATTACACTACTTTTTCTCCACTCTTTTTCTAGCACCTAGAGCTAAGTTTACTTTAGAAAAAGGAAGATTTACAGGCCACAAGCAATTCCAGCTCGCTGGTTCTGCACTGAGGCAGGTTAAGAGGACAAAGACTCAAAACTGAGTGAGTGAAGTTGAGTGACTGGTGTTGGAGTAACATAACGACAGAATCTGAACTGTTCTGCTGGAGCACGACCACAAAGTGTAAGATCCAGCTTATTTTCTGATTAATTAAAGTGACGCTTGTGGTTCTGATCTGCTCTGCATTTCTTTAAACATAGAGACAGTGTGCTGGATAGAGGGGAAGCGAGGAACGCAAACAGTGCGGCTCTCTGCAGATTCATAGATCAGAACGATATACTATAACGAGTGTTTTTATAGTTAGAGAGATCCTCGCACTTTTTAGGTAGTTTCCTTGTCATAAATATAATCGTATAAAAAATATGTTAACAATTTATTGTTTAACATAAATTATTTTTTTGTGGTTTATATTACGACTTTAGGAGTATTTTAGCCCTTTTCTGCAAATGTTAATGTACAGTTACTTTATAGTTGAGTAAATTAAAAATGAGTAATTGTGGCATGTGCAAAAGTTTAGACACCCTACTAAGTCAGAACTCAATGACATCCAATTTTGGCAGATATCACAGTTTGTTTTTTGTAGCCAGCTAATGTTTATAGTTCTGCGATAGTCTTGGGTCGTCTCACATGCACAGCATGCTTAAGATCTACCCACAGATATTCCAGGATATTGGTGGATATTGGATCATTATCATGGTCCTTTTGTAAAAGCCAGCCTCTTTTCAGTTTCCATTTCTTGACTGACTGTGTGTCACGAATCTGCAGAGTCCTAGGATGGATCCGGACTCGATCTTCCAGACTCCTCTGGGAGATCACATGACTTCCGATCTTCCCTTGCACTCAGAGACATACACTGACTCCATCTCCCAGAATCCTCTGGGAGATCACCTGACTCCTGGCCTTTCCTCATGCACCTATCAGCACTCTAGATCACCAGAATACTGATGTGTATCACCTGTGTTGTTGGTCATATGACTTTCTTAGTTTAGTTTATAAGCATAGGCTTTAGCCTTAGATAGTTGTGAGGTATTGTATCTGTTTGCGACCTACTGAGTGTTATATCTGTTGTCTGTATTCTGTTAATGACCATTAATTTTCGTTCTTTCGACTCTGCTTTTTGCTCTGCCCTTTGGATTGTTTGCTTATATCATCTGATGCATGTTTTTGACAATGCCTTTTGCATGCCCCTTTTTGGATTGTTCGCCTCGTGTTATGTTGGTTTGTATCTGCTATGCCTTTTGGATTTGACCCTTGCATGTGTTGTGACTACGATCCTGGACTTTGATTCAACCAGTAAAGCCTCATTTGTGTTTCCTTACCGCGAGCGTCTGACTTTTGTTGGCACATTACACTGTGTCACATTTGCTTCCAGAATTTGCTCACGTTTAAAGGAGTCTCTTCTTCCATCTACCTATGCAGTGTTTCCACTGGCTTCCTCAAAACCCCAAAGCATAACAGATCCACTCCCATGTTTAATGGCTGACAAGGTGTTCTTTTTATCATATGCTGCTCCTTTTTGCTCATTTAAGGCTCTATTATTAATTATTAGCATATTTTGAAGCTAAATGATAAATTATGGGTGACTTAATTGTCTCTGCTTTATATCGCAGTCAAAAAGGCAATCTGATGGACCACTTTCGAGACCCCTCAAGATCAAGAATATTTATAAAAAGAGGCTCCTTTTCAACAATAATTAAAAGTAAAACACATTTGACACATTTAGCATTCAGAATGGCAATTTTTGATAAAAGGCAACAATTTTGCATGGATGAGGCCTGAATGTAGTCCTACTTGCAACCACCCTATTTTATAATGTGCATGTAATCTGATGCGTGTCTTTTTTCTGTGATGGATTACGGTTATTTTTTTTTGTATCCAGATTATGTAACGCCATTGCATATATTCTGTTACTTCTAAACACTGTATATAGCAATCTTTGCAATTTTCATAAACCTTTGCGTCCTTACACACGCCACACCCTAAATAAACTTAATAAATATGATGAATATAATGCATATAAATATGATATGAAATACTCATCCAGCGTTTCCTTAAATATTTTAAAATTGATGCTGTTTTGGAAATGACATTTAAGATTTAAATCCTAGGCACTTAAAAGATATTTATATGAAACTTTAGATTATTATAGTACTGGTGTAACCTTGAACTTTTAAACAGGATGAAGTCTGGTAAAATGAGCCAGATAAGTCTGGGGCATAAAAATAGCTTTAAATGTTTACAGCCTATTGCTGCAAACAGTTGTACACTTGACATGTGGCAAGTGCTGTGATTGGTTAAAGACTGCCAAGGTGGGCAGGCTACTGCCCTGGTGGAGAGCAGTGAAGCAAACCGGATGGTCAAAGTCTCAACATGATAAATTGTACCTTTCAATAATAAGGTTGATATTTAAAAAAAAACAAATGAACATTGAGAAGTTCTGTTTCTTATTCAATAATCTTATGGTCTCTACAATAAAATATGCAGAGATTTGCAAAAAAAAAAAAAGTATATCTTTTCCCACTATTTATATAACTGAATATGGCCCTTAATGAATGCAGCCAAAGAGTTCTGTTTTACAAAAAGCCTCTGGCTTTTCAAGATGGTATTTTGCAGACTTCAGACATTCACTGTTGTGATCACAGGTTTGTATACAGGTTTCCTTCTGATGACTCTTATATACATATCATGTTTTTGCAAGCGACACTGCAGAGTGGAATGGTGTACCACCATTCCTGGGTCAGTTTAAACCTTCCTGCAGGTCCTTTGCTTTGCCTTTGGTCAGCATATAAGCTGCTCCATCCCAGAATTTTCTTGGTCTTCAAGATCCCACCTCCATAGTTTTCCTTAACTGCCACTTCTTAATGGCATTAATAACAAGTGCTTTGGTATATTTTAATAGCCTTTTCCAGCTTTTTAGGCATCAAATTAGATTTCAGATTTTGTTTGTCTGTTTTTTACACTAATCAAACATTAGTAACTGTGTGTTTTTATGCATTCTGCAACATTATGTTTGTCTGTTTTTTCACTTCAAAGATCAGCAAAATGTTTTTTGTATTTTTTTCCCAGAGATGCCTAAAGTTTTGCATAGGACAGTATACTGCTGCTTTTGTCTATAAGACTTTAAGGACCAGAGAAATTTCACATTTTCCTTTTTACTTACATTTTTTACTCCTATAATGTTTTTTAGACTATGACTTTCTAAAACTCAAGTATAGATCTGTCAAAATGAATCTTGGCTTCTCCTGTCTTCACTTTGTACACATGTACCTTTTAAACATTAAATATAAAAAAAAAAATAATGGAGTCTCTGTCTCTGTTCTCTCTGTCACAGTATCTGCAAAATATCAGAACTACTGTTCACTTCCTCGATGTATTACAAATACTGAAGACCCTCCACTCAAAATGTTGATTTGTGTCATAGCAATCGACAATGTTGTCTTGATGGTTTTCATCCAAAAATAAGCTCAGATTTAAACTGTTATATCTCACCATTGACTTCAACATGAACAGTTATGGCATCGCTGTAGGATTTGTCCTGAATGACACATTTGTAAGCTCCATCATCAGTAGGTTGGACTGCTGAGAGTTTCAGTGAGGTGTTTCCTTTCTGCAGTTCCTCTTTAAATAGAGCTGTTCTTCCTCTGTAAGACTCCATCTGACCATAATATCTGTCTTCATAATCTTCATACAGATGTACTAGACTGTCAGTATCAGGTCTGGTCCACTCCACCATCATATTCTTAGCACTGATGCTGGGTTGGAGAGAACAGGGCAGAACCAGATCTTCACCAGCTTCAACAACAAGAGGAGCAGCTGGACCAACTACTTTAAAGTTCTCTGCAACAAAAAACAAACATGATATATAATAAAACAATAATGCAATAAAAAATAGTTAAAAAAAAATATTGTCACCACAAATATTGTCACCCCTGGTAACCATGAGCAAAACAGGCTATAAAAAACATTGTTTATTCCTTTTGATCCTTCATTCAAAATATTAACAAAAATCTTATCTTTATTTGAAGTACAATGATTGAAAAACCCTCAATTTTATCAGGAAATATATATTTTTCTCAAATACATGTGTGCCACAATTATTGCCCCTTGCCTTTATAAATTGTGCAACCTCCCTTTGCAAACGTAACAGTTCTAAGTCTTCTTCTATAATGCTTAATGAGACTGGAGAACACATGGCAAAGGATCTAAGACCTTTCTCCCATATAGAACCTCTCCAGATTCTTCAGAATCTGTGGTTAACACTGTGGACTCTCCTCTTCAGCTCATCCCACAGGTTTTTTAAGGGGTATAGGTCAGGGGATTGGGGTGGCCATGGCAAAACCGTACTGCAGTCAGTGAACCATTTTTATGTTGATTTTGAGGCGTGCTTTGGATCATCGTCCTGCTGGAAAATCCAAACTATGGACAGTCAGGTTTTGATTTTATTTCTACTGGTACTTGATGGAGTCTGAGATACCATGTATCTGAATAAATTGTCCAGGGCCTTTGGAAAAAAACAGCCCCACAGTATCACAGATCCACCACCATGCTTCACAGTGGGGATGAGGTCCTTTCATAAATGGCTCTCTGTTCACGCCAAACTCACCTCTGGTGTCCAAAAGTTTCAGTATTGTTTGGCAAGCTGTAGGAGTATCAATATGCTGGTTGTCGACAGGAGAGGCTTTCCTCTGATACCCACACAAACAACTTGTGGTTATATAGGTGGCGTTTGATTGTAGATTGCGAGACGTGATCCTTGAAGATTCTTTGGCCACTCAAATAATCCTCCTCACTGTGAGTGGGGTCAGTATAGACATATGTCTTCTTCCTTGCAGATTCTTACCATCTACAGTTGTTTTAAACTTCTTACTTATTGCCCTGATAGTGGAAATGGGAATTTTCAACTGTTTATCTATTTTCTTGTAGCCGTTTCCTGATTTATGCAGCTCAACAACCTTTCGTCGTCAACAACCATCACTGCTGTATTCTCTAGTCTTTCTCATAGTGATAGGTGACTGAGGGAATTTGGCCTGTGTTGGCCTGAAGAAGTAATAGCTGACCTTTTAAGTGTTCCTAATTGCTCAGGTGAACTTAAAAACATAAAATATCAATGAAAATATACTTCAGTTATATTTCACTCTTAAGGATTTCTAGGGGTGGCAACAATTGTGGCACACATACATTTAAGAAAAATGTTTACTTCATGACAAGATTTAGGTTTTTCTATTAATCATTACACCTTAAATAAAGGTTAGATTGTTGCTTATATTTTTGAATAAAAGATCAAAAGGATAAGTAATTTTGAAGATTTTTTACAGCTCATTTTGATCATGATTACCAGGAGTGCCAATATTGGAGGGCACTGTATGTGTAAAAATATATTGCCCATATAAAATATTTATTGCTTCATGTTTTTCCCACATCATTCTATGAGTGTTAACCTTTTCCAATATAGTATTTTTTTTTACTATTTCTACAGGATAGAACACACATACCTGACATGGTCTCCATAAAGCCAGAGAAAGTCAGCAGCATCACACAAAGAAACATCATCCCTGAAAGACAGTTTACAGGAAGACAGGTAGCCGTGAGGAGTGGAGTTAGCAAAGAGCACATTTGCAGCAACACAGACACTGGTCAACTCATTTATTTACTACAGCGATCAGGCCAGGTCCAAATTTTTCATGTTCAGTCAGTCCACTCTTTGTCTTTATTACAGTTTCCATTCTTTTCAGGAGACTTGCTTTCATTTTTTTTTAAGAAATGTAATTATTTTAAAGAAAATCTGCACAGTGATGCACACACACATAAGGATGTGAAGTATCTGCATATAATATTATGCCAATGAAGTTCAGAGCCTTTTACAAACCCAGTTCCAACAAGTTGTGACAGCAGAAAAAATGTGACATTTTTTGCAAATCCATTTGACATGTATTCATTTGAAAATGGTACAAAATGAGAAAATGTTTAATGCTTTAAGTAATTAACTTTATTGATTTTTTTTGTATATATACGCTTATTCTAAAGTTGGGACAGTGGCATGTTTACCACTGTGTTACATCACAATTCAGTAATCATTTGGGGAACTGAGGACACCATTTGTTATAGTAGTGAAATTAAAATTTTTTCCCATTCTTGCTTGACATAACACTTTAACTGCCCAACAGTCCGGAATCTACATTGCCGTATGTTGCACTTCATAATGTGCCCCACGTTTTCAATCGGATGCCGGTCTGGACTGCAGGCAGGCCAGTTTAGTACCTGCAGTCTGTTACTATGAAGCTGCACTGTTGTAACACGAGCAGAATCTGGCTTGGCATTGTGTTGCTGAAACAAGCAGAGACAAACAGGGCCTAGAGAACAACATCCATTACTTCCAAACACAATTTGAAAGGTGGACTGGTCTGATCACAGCACATGTTTCCACTTTGCATCAGACCTTTTGTGAATGCTCCTTTACACCCAATCATGGTAACATCACCTGTTACCTATTCACCTGTGGAAAGTACCAAAACAGGTGCTTTAATGATTCCACAAACTTTGCAATTTTAAGGCCTTTGCACACCAAACGTGATTTATTTGTACAATTTATAGCTCATCATGCTATACTTTCTCTTTTCCCAAATGGAATGTAGCCTAGTGTCACAGTTTGCCTGTTCAACATTATATGATTTCCACTTGAAGACATTCAGCCTGTTTGCTTTGTGTTTTGCCTCGGATGGAGTTGCATCTCCAAAATCAGCTCAGATCAGAGTTATGGAGATCTGAGCTGTGTGGGAAAAGCTCATAAAGATTTAAGCGAGAGACATTATGAAGGACTCGGTTTAAGCTCCTGATGAGGTGGACGAAGCGTGATAGTTGTGGTGTTTGCGTGATACGATACGAGCGTGATATTGTGAAGCTCCTCATTTGTGGAGTCCTTCACAATATCACGCTTTACCTGTTTCATGAGAAGGAAAGACCTTTTTTTAAACAACTTGGTGAAATTCCAAAAATACTGCGTTGCTGCAGGTGGGTATAAATGCAATAAAATCACATCTGAATATTTCGTGTTTGAGTGCTTGTATATTCACATGTGTTCAGTTTTGTAACCAACTTTACACATCCTTTGAATCGCCTGGGAGTTCATAGTCAAAGTACATTCTTAGGGACACTAACTCAGTGCTAAAAACCTGAAAGTCTGAGTGAGATAATGAAGGATAGTGTCATGGTTACTAAACAGTGATTGGAGGAGAAAAATACACTGACGTTTAGAAAAGACGTGGAGAGTGTCAAGATTATGATCTGCTCAAAATTACACCAAACTCCAAATTAGGCACCATTTCCCTACCAGCAGCTGCATCCAATGTAGTACCACCTGCAGTGGAAGGCCTGCAGGATATCTTCACACTCAGGAATGTCAAGTGTGTGACAAGTCAAACCTACAACAAACGCACATCAGATGATACCAAAAGATAGCTGCTTTACTGACAGAGCTCTCCAGCTGTAACTTACAGCAGGTATTTTATAGATTTTTATACCACCGTGGATGTGCAGCTTGGGTATGCTAACTTGTATTTACGTAACTAGCTAACCTAGCTAACAAACAGTAATTTCTGGCTGTTTCTCTCCAAATTGTTTACCAGAAGATTCATAAAGATCCTTCACTTCTACACTTCATGGAGGACTTTCTTCTCATCTGCTTTAAGGTGCCCCGTCAAAGTTTATTTATAAAGTGCATTTTACAACAAATGTTGTCGCGAAGCAGCTTTGCAAAAAAAATCCTGGTCCAAGCTCCCATGAGGAATCCAATGGCGACAGCAGCAAGGAAGAACTCCCTAAGAGCGAGAGGAAGGAAACTTGAGTGGAATTGCAGAGCGACACGACACGTCAAAATAGAAACAGGGCGTCTGTCAAAAATGTTGTACCTCACCACATCATGCTCTGCTGCCCCAGCTGAATGTAGACATCCTCAGTTATTATAATGGAAGCATTTTGGTTTTGTTGTTTTCGCTCGTGTTGCTTGCTGTTAGAACAGGCTAGTAAAGTACCCACCGCGAGTCAAAGCAATGTTTAGAGTTAGATAAAACTTCTGATAATCAATAATTGGTAGATGTTTTATATCGATATTTTAATTTTAAACTTGTATAAATTTGTATACTATAATATATAATATACTAATATTTGTTTATATTCATGTAAATACATATTACATAAATATAAATTATTATATTTATACTTCTGTAAATATAATTAAACTAACAATAAAACTTCCAACATCATGCATAAATTTTCCTTGTTTGCCTTTCTAGTCTTACACTGTCTCATTTTCAGACGTTTTTGGAATGTCCTGAAGGAATCAATTTCAGAATGTGGTTTGTTTATAAAAAGCAATGAAGTCGAGAAAGCAAAACATGAAATGTCTTGACTTAAAAATCAAAAGTCAAAGTGGATTTTCAAATCACTGCTTTCTGTTTTATTTACATTTATATACTGTTCCAACCTTCATAAACTCTTACATATAAATGTACCTTCTAATGCTGTACTTGATCACACTGAATTTAAATTTCTGACATCAAAGAACTGAAAGCGCTAACATAAAATGCTTTGTCATAAATACATTGACGCACAACCCTGTGTGCTAAAGCTGTCATCTGTGTCATCTTTTCTGCACCTCATAGTCGGCAGTTATTCCACCAGTTATTACGAAACGGTGGACAATAACTGTGCATCTCAGGTTTAGCTGTAATTCCACTTTTCTCCCACTGGTGGATTCTGTGTCTGTAAGGTAGGAGAAGTTCTACGTCTACAAACATTCTCACTCACAAGTAACATTTCCATATGATGTGTGTATGGACTGTGTACAAAACTGTAAACCCCTTAAACAGACAGGACTCACCGGCAGGCCCAAAGTTTTATTACACACTTCTGTAATCTAATAATAGCTCAACCAGTTTGCACTGAAGCTCCTGTAGTTACTGAATAAAAAGCCTTAGTGTATATTGAGCCTGAGATTTTAAGGGGTTAATAATTTACATTATCAGAAAAGCAGAAATTACTTCCGGTTTTCACACAACAACAAACAACATTCCACATGTAGGAGTGGCTGAGGACTTTAATACTCACAGAGAGAGAGAGAGAGAGAGAGAGAGAGAGAGAGAGAGAGAGAGAGAGGGAAAGGGGGTGAGAGAAAGGGAGAGAGGGAGATCTATAGTTAGATGTGTTTCGTAGCTTGATGTGGTCAGAGAATGCCTGTAGTGGACAGACTGGACTGACAGTAGGATCAAACTACACTGGTGAATAAAGTGAACATAATCAGTACAGAATATTATGATACAAAATGTTGTATGGAAAGAGAAGAGAGTGATAGACTGAGGAAGAGTGTGTGTGTGTGAGAGAGCGAGAGAGAGAGAGAGAGAGAGAGAGAGAGAGAGAGAGAGGGTGTGTGGATGTGTTGTTGTTGTCAGTAGTGATTCACATTCTTTGGCTCCAGTTCAGTTTCTGAATGAAAGATGTAAATTTTACAGTTTAACTCTTCTGACTTCCAAAATACGTGTGTGTGTGGTGTGTGTTGTGTGTTGTGTGTGTGTGTGAAAGAGAGAGAATAAGAGAGAGAGAGAGAGAGAGAGTGAGAGAGAGGGTGTGTGGGTGTGTGTGTGTGTGTGTGAGAGAGAGAGAGAAAAACTTCTCTAGTGGTTGTAGGTTTCATTGGTATCAGTCTTGTTGGACAGCATTTCAACCTGACATGACCTATAACTTCAGTCAAATGCTAAAGATTCCCTGAACAGAATTATGGGATTGCTTATTTCTAGAAGCATATACACAAGGATACAAATGGTGTCAGCTTTAGTGATTGTGTTGCTGTTATCTGAAAGTCTGCAGTCCAGTTTACCACAGAAAACCACTGACCTCTGACTGGGGCTTTAAAGTGCTCAACAGCTCCCAGCACTGTTATTATACAAAGTGTAATTTTAAGCTATAAAATGTAGTCAGAGGGATTTTACAGGGTTAATAATCTACATCTAGTCACAGAATATATTTTAATAACAACTCACATGTGCAGTCTTCTTATTAAAACTTACAGCCTCAGCACTGAACATACAGCAACCACATACAGCGCAAAACACAGTGTGAAACATTACATAACTAAAGAAAAACAACACAATAAAGCAACAATCAGACCTGTAAAACACAGGACCTCCTCATATTCCTATGTAGACATTCATCAACTGATCACACGACTCACTGAACTGAAAACTTTACCTTTCAGAACTCAGTTCAGTTTCACTCTGAAACTCAGATCCACAAGCAGTAAATCAGTCATAATATCCATTAAAAGCTGAGAGCAGAGTTACCTGATTCTGAGGTCAGAGTTCAGAGTCTTTAAAGCCGAGAGCAAAATTACCTGATTCTGAGGTCAGTGTTCAGAGTCTTTAAAGCCGAGAGCAGAGTTACCTGATTCTGAGGTCAGTGTTCAGAGTCTTTAAAGCCGAGAGCAGAGTTACCTGATTCTGAGGTCAGTGGTTCAGAGTCTTAAAGCCGAGAGCAGAGTTACCTGATTCTGAGGTCAGTGTTCAGAGTCTTTAAGCCGAGAGCAGAGTTACCTGATTCTGAGGTCAGTGTTCAGAGTCTTTAAAGCTGAGAGCAGAGTTACCTGATTCTGAGGTCAGTGTTCAGAGTCTTTAAAGCTGAGAGCAGAGTTACCTGATTCTGAGGTCAGAGTTCAGAGTCTTTAAAGCCGAGAGCAGAGTTACCTGATTCTGAGGTCACTTTTCACTTTTCTCAAATGGAAAGTAGCCTAGTGTGTATCAGAATATCTCTGACCTACCATGAGAGGCACTTTAACCAGCTTGTGGGCCCTATCAGTCTATTTGCACACAGCATCCAAAACATGAAGCTACTTTCTTAATGTCCAGTTCTTTTTCAAATGTTATGTATGAAACCATTTAAGGAGGAATGGAAAATTCAAATAAGAATCTGGCAAACAGGAAGCCAGTTTCTGCCTCACTCATACCTTTTGGCTTAAAAACAAAGAGTTTGAGAAGAGATTGTTAGCTGATACCAAACATGATGAACTAAATTTATCAAAATTGATGTTTTAAAAACTTTTATTCCGTTAAAACCGTACAAGTTCAGTAAGTTTTAATATAAAAATAGAAACATATCCTGAACTTGAGATGAAAGTATGTGCTATAGCTGTGCTGCGTCCAATCTGTCGTACTGTGCTTCTGCAGCAGTGTGTGGTAGAGTTTACTTGGTAAAACCATTATCACTACCATTAACCATTCACCAAAACAACTGAGGTCTATAGTCTATAGTTTGATCGAGTGACCTAGGCAGAAATACATTTTTGGGTAAGCCTCTGAAAAAAGTGGGAAGGCCAATTTGGTAAATCCCATTTCCAAATGCGCTAATGTCCTGCAATGTCAAAACATCAGCCTACAGCCTATTCCAGACATGCAGTCATCACCCTACCTAATCCAACACTTCTGTTCTATGGTAATACAAAACAATAGCAATCAACCAGATTACTGGATTCATATGAACACAATCAACACTATATACTTTGACTATAAAGCATGTGTCCACTCATCACAGCAATGTTTGCCCAATGAAGATGACATTACTGAGATAAAATCAGACAAAACAACACAGTAAACTTCAAACCTGAACTTATTTACTGTAGGCTAAAGCATACTGCCACAGCAGGAATGAAAATTATTTATGATTCATTCATGTCTTACTTTAATGCACTGAAATAACATTAAATGTTTGCTTTAACATTTTCACAAGCCCACATTAGCCTTTGTAATAATAAAGCATTATAGGCGCAAAATTCACAGAAAACGAATAGATTTTTTCAGCTTTGGACAAATAGTAACTGTTAGATTTTTCAGGATGGAATCTCTAGTTCCATCTTTTTACCTAACTGGAGCTTCAAATTCAAACACTGACATGTTGAACGAACTGAAGGCTTGAGACAATGGTGTATAGCAAAGGTTGCTGTGAACTGAATGGAGGGCTTAGAAGAGAAGGCGGAGCTTGGCGGAGAGTGTAATGATTTGATTGGGCATAATAAAGTGACAGTGCTCACAGAAAACAAATCAAATTTCCCCAAGACCTGTGATTAATCTGGACAGACCCAGGTAGTGGAAGGGAAATAAATAACTCACGAAAAAAAACAAAAGAAAACGAAATAAAACAAAACAAAAAAAATGGCCAGTTAGAGGCCCTGAAGTATTCTGGGCCCCAGGGATTCAGCCCATGCTTTAATTTGCCCCTGCATATCATTCCTTTCAGAACAAAAGGAACGATAGATCACTAAACAATACTAAACAATGAGAATCAGAATTTAAAGATTTTTTGCTACCTCCAACTCCGGTCAGTGATGTGAGGCTTTAACTGTATTGTAAAAGGATCCCTGAATAAATCTTGAATAAATACAGAAGACAGATCTGCAGGCTAAAGAAAAAATATACACAGTGCAAAGAAACATACTGTGAAACATCACATAAAAAACCTACAAAATGTAATAATCAGAACTGGAAAACACCAGAATTGTTCATCTTCCTATGTAGACATTGGCAAATAACCACAACTCACTGAACTGAAAACTTCATCTCTCTGACCTCAGTTCAGTTTGAGAGTCTGTTTCACATTGAAAGTCAAAAACAAGCAGTAAATCAGTAATAATATCCATTAAAAGCTGAGAGCAGAGTTACCTGATTCTGAGGTCAGAGTTCAGAGTCTTTAAAGCTGAGAGCAGAGTTACCTGATTCTGAGGTCAGAGTTCAGAGTCTTTAAAGCTGAGAGCAGAGTTACCTGATTCTGAGGTCAGTGTTCATATTTCAGCCATAATCTCAAAATACAGCACTGAGGAGAACACAAGGTGGATATGACTGATAGAGCTAATAAACACGCCCCTCTAAAGCGCTGCAGCTCTGAAAACAGCGCCACTGCACATCACCACACCTTTTACAGTATTAGTGCTTTATCAGCTCAATGTTCCTCATAAACAGTAATGTGATCTGAATTCAGACAAAACACAGCTATCAGCGTTAAATACGACTGTATCTGTATTCACCGCTCAGTTACAGCGTTATACATTTAGACCTTCTCAACAAACGCACAAGCTATCGTCGTTAAATACGACTATATCTGAATTCACCGCTCAGTTTACAGCGTTTATACATTTAGACCTTCACTCAAACTCACAGCTATCAGCGTTAAATACGACTATATCTGTATTCGGCGCTCAGTTTACAGTGTTTATACATTTAGACCTTCACTCAAACGCACAGCTATCGTCGTTAAATACGACTATATCTGAATTCACCGCTCAGTTTACAGCGTTTATACATTTAGACCTTCACTCAAACTCACAGCTATCAGCGTTAAATACGACTATATCTGTATTCGCCGCTCAGTTTACAGCGTTTCTACATTTAGACCTTCACTCAAACGCACAGCTATCGGCGTTAAATACGACTATATCTGTATTCGCCGCTCAGTTTACAGCGTTTATACACTGAGACCTTCACTCAAACGCACAGCTATCGGCGTTAAATACGACTATATCTGTATTCGCCGCCTCAGTTTACAGCGGTTTTACACTGAGACCTTCACTCAAACGCACAGCTATCGGCGTTAAATACGACTATATCTGTATTCGCCGCTCAGTTTAGTGTTTATACATTCAGACCTTCACTCAAACTCACAGCTATCGGCGTTAAATACGACTATATCTGTATTCGCCGCTCAGTTTAGTGTTTAACATTCAGACCTCACTCAACTCACAGCTATCGGCGTTAAATACGACTATATCTGTATTCGTCGCTCAGTTTACAGCGTTTTTAGACCTTCACTCAAACGCACAGCTATCGGCGTTAAATACGACTATATCTGTATTCGCCGCTCAGTTTACAGCGTTTATACATTTAGACCTTCACTCAAACACACAGCTATCGGCGTTAAATACGACTATATCTGTACTCGCCGCTCAGTTTACAGCGTTTATACATTCAGACCTTCACTCAAACACACAGCTATCAGCGTTTAATACGACTATATCTTTATTCGCCGCTCAGTTTAGTGTTTATACATTTAGACCTTCACTCAAACGCACAGCTATCGGCATTAAATACGACTATATCTGTATTCGCCGCTCAGTTTAGTGTTTATACATTCAGACCTTCACTCAAACTCGCTCTCGGCCCTCTAATCGGACGTTTGTCATAGCTGAAAGACCAGTTTAGTGTCTATGAACACATAAAAACGTGCTCTCTTTTTAAACTACATGCAGAAATTCCTCATTTGTGTTACTTATCTTACCGAGTGAATCCAAAGCGCTGATGTCTGAGCTCTTCTCTCCGTTTGTAACGGCGTCAGATTAAAGTTGCTGTCGTTATCTCTCTCACTCACTCACCCCTCTCCCCTTTCACCAGTCTCTGTTCCTCTTCTTTTCTGCGATCAACAGGGATACAGTAGCGAGATCACTTTGCCACCTTTGTTGCTATTATTATTAAAATAATTATTTAAATCATTTGAACATGCTGCTACAACCCTTAAGTAATTTGCCTATCAAATATCTAGTATATACAGCAGTGATAAGCATTCCCTCTATATTCATTTAATACAACAGTACTTTTGTACTAAACACCTTTGGTGTCTCCTTCTGGAACTGCTCTTGAGAATGTTTTCTGTTTACTGCCCCACAACAGTGAAGTGAAACATACACCCACCCTAAAACCTCATTCACTGTAATGAATTTAACTTCCACAACCAGATATTTCAGCCATAATCTAAAATACAGCACTGAGGAGAACACAAGGTGGATATGACTGATAGAGCTAATAAACACGCCCCTCTAAAGCGCTGCAGCTCTGAAAACAGCGCCACTGCACATCACCACGCCTTTTACAGTATTAGTGCTTTATCAGCTCAATGTTCCTCATGAACAGTAATGCGCTCTGAATTCAGAGAAAACACAGCTATCAGCGTTAAACACGACTATATCTGTATTCAGCTGATTGACCAGTTTAGTGTCTGTGAAACACATAAAAACGTGCTCTTGTTTTAAACTACATGCAGAAATTCCTCATTTCTGTTAGTTAACTTACCGAGTGAATCCAAAGCGCTGATGTCTGAACTCTTCTCTCCGTTTGTAACGGCGTCAGATTAAAGTTGCTTTCGGTTTCTCTCTCACTGCCCCTTTTCACCTGTCGTGTTTACAGTGCTCCTCTACACAAATTCACATAAAGGGATTTACGTGCTTTAACCCTCTGTTTCATTTGTTAGCATATTTTGAGTTAAGGTAACTTTATTCAAGTGTTTTATGTTCACTGTTTTTATTTAAGTTGATGTTACAGGTACAGTCAGGGTTGGGTTTACATTCAAATGATTTGGGCTTCTCATGTCACTTTTGACAATTTTGGACATTCAAATGGGATCTTTGAGTTAAATCAACCTCTTGCAGTTTAGTTTAGTTTGTTAAGACTTCTCAGCTTTACTTGATGAAAGCTTGGTCAGTACAACCTTGAGTAAAACTTGCATTATTCCTATTGGCTCTTGATGGCGTACTGGCTGTGTCTTTCCACCTTGTTTAACCTACCCTCTCGGTGCAGTCATTCTCCTCAGCCTACCTTCCTTTGGGCGTTTACTTATGTTCTAAATTTTGGGAGCTCACCTACTCTCATTCAGTACTGACTGTAGATCAGTGCTGAGAAAGCTGGGCTGCCATGACCCCACCTGCTGAGTGTGGTTCTGAACACGTCAAAACGTTTCTGCATTCTGGGCTGAGTTGTCAGTATTGGGCTGGTCCAGAACAGTATTAAGTAAAACTGTTTAAGGCATGTAAAGTATTGGTTTTTATGACATCCCAAAAACAGAATTCTAAAATTACATATATTACCCATATGGATTGAGGAGCGCATGGATTTGCATAATATGGTAACGTTAATATGTTTACCAATAAACAAACTAACTTAATTTGGTGTCATATTTTGGCAGAGTCTGAATCTCCAATCTGTTTGTTGCCACCATGCCTGGGGCTAAAACCAAAAGAAAGGAAGCATGTGCCGCTACAACCGTTGTAGAGGATGAGGTTGAAGATGTATCTCAAGGTACGACAGTTAATTAGCAGGCTAACATATTTGCATTGATTGGTGGAAGTAGTAACATCATATTGTCATTGTCATCAAATGATGTATACCATAGATATGGATATAGATATATAAATGGTGCGTTGTCTGTTCTCAGTCACAGAGATGTGTCTGCGAGTCTACCATGTTGAAACTGTCAAAATCCAATTGTAAACAAATACTGGGTATGTGAAGAGTTCTTGTAAATTGGCTCTACCTTTCTTATTACTCAATTGATTTTCACTATTTTTTTTATTGTAAACATCAGATGTTTTTGCATGTTGCTGCTAACTTAAATGTCCAGTTTTCATCGCGCTAGGCCTATTGGTAAAACACCTAGGTTACCAACAGCTATTTATACACAAACCACCAAAATTTAAGTAAATAAGCTCATAACAGAAATAAGAAGACATTTACATTTATGTAGTTACCATTAGATATTTACTGGCAGTGATAAGATCCCTCAAAGCAAAGAGAATACAGCAGATCAGTTGACAATCACCATATTTCTGAATTAGATTTAAAAGATCTACATGTTCTTAAACATAAATATTAAAGTCTAATGGTAGAGCTTAACTTGAGTGTGCCGTAGAAAATGATCAAGCAGCTTTCTGTGTTTTGACATTTTGCTTACAATTGTGTAAAATAATATATAGAAACCTCGGTTGCACAGATTGCTCTAGGTTGCTTTTATCTCTATTTTCGTGACTGTGAATGTGCTGGTTAGCTGTCTGGGGCAGCAGGAAACTTATTTGGTCTGCACCTTGCTTTAAAAACTGATGCTGCTGAGGTAAGTTCAAGCTCAGGTAAAATAAAATAGTTTAATACGCATCCATAAATGTGTATTTATGAAGTTAAATAAGGGTATGGTAGATTTAAAATGCACAGTTATGCAACACTAGCAATCAGTGTAAATAGAATAGTTGAACTATAGTTCACATCCAGTAAAGATACTCTGTATAGGTTATTAAATTAAATACGCTTAATAGAAAACTATATGAAAACCAATTACAGGTTCTCTGTGCTTTACCCTCCACACGGCTTTATCTTTACATAATTCATCACAAAAACATGAGTGTCAATCATTATGTTTTCCCCTTCATATGAATTTGCCCTAATTTCTTAGTGCTATGATTTTAGGATGCCATTCATGTGCATGTGTGTGTGTGTGTGCGTGTGTGTGTGTGTGTGTGTGTGTGCATGTGTGCGTGTGTGTGTGTGCATGTGTGTGTGTGTGTGTGTGCGTGTGTGTGTGTGTGTGTGTGTGTGTGGTTCATATTAGCAGATTTTATGCATTGATAAATGAGGATTTTTAGATTTTTTTTCTCATCTAATATTGGTATTTGGTATCTGTAATCATTGATTTTAAACATAAAATTACCCAAATAATGTTATGTTTATTCTGATTTGATAGCTGAGGGCCCCTCTAAGCCTTCAGCTCCAACAGCCCAGTTACTTGTCAAGAGGCTTCAGTGGGAGGTCTGTGCACTTAGAGAAGAGAGAGATTTTCTCAGGCAACAACTGAAGTTAGCACTGGAACGTCCCCACTCTGCTCCCGCCCCTGGTCAGTAGTTCATATAAATAAAATTTACTGGTCATTTATGTGTTTGTAAAGCATTTTTTAAAGTGTTTTTTAAATGCAGGTCCAGAGAGGATGGATTCAGAGATGCGATCAGATTCTGACTCGTCCTCGACTTTCTCTTCCTCCTCTTCCTCTGATGCACGAGGGAAAAAAAAGAGGAAGAAGAGGCACACAAAGGCAGGAAAACACGCTCAGTTTGGAAAAAGAAGTAAGCCAAGGGGATGTGCTAATGTTCCTCTAAACCTTTAGTACGTTATATAACAAACAGCCTCATTCACCAACCGTTCTTAAGGAGAATTCTTCCTTAAAACAATAGGTGGGCGATATGGCAAAAGCCAGCACTACTTAAAACCCACTTATGCAGTTTTCATGAAGATTCTGACATTCACTAATGTTTTCTTATTTGGAAATAATAAACATTTAAGAACAAACTTAGGAAGAGATTGGTGAGTGAAGCCCACTGCTTATGTTTAGTGGCAGACGTAATTACATAATTCTTTATTTGTGTCTCTGTAGTGAAAACTCCAGAAGATGTGGTGAACAGGGTATCGGGCAGTGCTGAAAACATTTAAGAAAACACGTAGTGTCACCAGAAGCTGTGAGCGTCACGATGTGGACCGCAACACCATCGCCATGACAGCAGTCATTGCTGAAGTCTACATTGCTGCCACAGAAGAAGAAGCCCGCATCCCAAAATTCTCTGGCTCCCAACTAATGTCCTAAGCTAAAGAATGCAAGGCTTTCTTTGATAATGAGCCACAGCTACAGGAAAAAATAAAACAGATGAAAGCTAATGCAGAACTGCTACCTGTAGCTTACAAAGCCAAAAGGTAAATGTTAGCCAGGTATGTGGAGGATGTTCGCCCTTTTTTCAGGGAGACTGTGTGACTATACAGCGTGTTTGCACTTACTTAGCCTTAGAGGGTGTTGTGCCCTTTTTTCCAAAAGACTGTTTGCCCTTATTTAGCTTCATAGGGTGTTTGCCCTCTTTTTCCAGGGAGGCTGTTTGATCATACAGGGTGTTTGACCTTATTTTACTGAACGGGATGATTGCCTTTATTTTGTTATTTCCCCCTTTCTTTGTCATTATGTCCAAAAATGATGTTAAAATTGGATATCTTTCTCCAAACTCCAAAGATAAAAAATGTGCTTTTTTCTGATTTACTGGTGTCCCATTTTAAATCTTCAAGGAAAGATAAAGAGGTTGTATAAAGATATGCGTGGTGTGGTTGTGAGTTTTCTCCATCAGTGAACTCATTTCTGAGCATTTTGTCAGATCTGTGCTTTATAGTAACAGTATTTTGTTAAAAGGTAACACAAAGGGAACATGTGATGTTGCATTTTCCAGCCCTGATTCTGTGTAATCTCAGTACATTTACCTCATCTATTCCTGTGTAAGTACACTTGTCTATAGGTGGGCCTGCATGTAAAGTATTAGAACAACCATGAGAGATTATAATGCAGTAATTTAGTCATTGTTTCAGTGCAGTTACCCAGACTGTTTTGCAGAGCTGATGTTATTACATGATGTGAGGTGTAGTAAGTGGGAAAAAAGATGGAAAGAAACATTTTTGCATTTTACAGCTCTGATACCATTTAGTTTCACTGTAATTACAGCCTGTGACATCATACTGGCCCTGACCACTTAAAGACATAACAGGTAAGAAACAAAGTAGAAACAAGAGAATTAGTATTTTACAGCACTAAAACCACATCATTTCAGCAAAACTACTGCTTTGTTTTGGGGCTAATAATAATATTATTGCCCTTTTAATTGATGGGCAATTAAAGTTTGTTACCATTATTTTTTCACTTTATTATCAACTAGTTTTGAAGTTACTGACTTTAAGTACAACTTGTTACCGTTATTTTACTATTTTATTACTGACCACCGCTACAATGACTCAACTTCTTATTTTTTAATGACTAACAAATGTGCATGTCATTTTTAGGTAAATACAACTTGTTACTGTTATTTACTCATTTTATTATTCATTTGTTACTGCTACAATTACTCATCTATTATTCCTTAACAACCAGAAAATAAGCATGTCATTTTTAGGTAAATACAACTTGTTACCTTTATTTTACCATCTTATTACAAATGTGTTATCATTATAAACACCAGCTTATTATTCCTTATGAACTGGAAAGTATGCAAGTAATATTTTGGTAAGTACAACTTGTTACCATGATTTTACCATTTTATTACTGACTTGTTACCGCTACAATTACTATTTTATCATTTCATAACAACTATGAAATTGACATTTAATTTATGGATAAATACAACTTGTTCCCATGATACTACCATAACATTACCCACTTATTAACGATCTGTAAAGTAAAGTGCTACCGTTTATTTTTTAGAAGGGGTATATAAAGTGTGGTTATTGGACACATTTAAAATAGAATTTGGATTATTAGTGTCATATTAAAATAGTCACAATAACAGAATAAAAATTGCATTCCTTAAAAAGAGGCAATAGATTGTACTGCAGTATAAATTACATACAAATCAAAAACACACTGGGAAGCCTATCATCAGCTAATTCTGGCTCTCTAGTTGCAGAAGGATTGTTGTTAATATATGAACTGTTTGTATAATAAGTAACTCTTGTAACTCTTTTTCATCTTCAGGGACATAAAGGAAAAACAACAGTAACACATAATAGCCTCACTAGCATGTTAACAGCCTATGTGCAACCAGTATGTTTAAAAAAATTAAAATAAACTATTAAATCGACGGCAATATTGAATCACGTTTCAGGTGCTACCAGTAAATACACAATTAGAACCTTTAAAGTAATAGAATGTTTTTGACAATCTGTTTGCACCATGGTTTTCTGCAGATCACCACAAACCAAAACTTAATTGAGGTTCTTTGTGGCACAAGAATCACCCATGTAAGATGAAGAGGGTCCCCAGTTTTCCACACTCCCTGGTACTGGCCCCACCTCTAAAACACCTGGTGGTTCATGAATCATCTCTGCAACACACAACAACTTTAGAACAGTATTTACTATTGCAGATATGATGGCTGATGTACAGATTTCAGAATAAAAGACATCTTCCCTCTGGTAAATCCGGGCTTTCCCCAGTTCCCAGTTTGTACAGTATATCTTGAAGTAGGCTGTTTACAAACCTTCTCTATAAACAGGCAGAATTATATTACATTTACTGTCCTGTGTTGCATAATATTGTAATCATGATCGTACGGCAGAGTCAAGCATGTGGCGTTCTTACTTTATAGAGGGGCTCAACATCACTTACTGTTTGAAAAGAAAGAACACTGTGGTCGTCCACAGTGTCTACATACCGGATTACATGTACAAACTAAGTACAAGTGTCTTTAAAGTATTATATAAAGTAGGGATGCATAAATACCATTTTTTTCCAACTGAGTACAAGTATGTGTATTTTTGCATTGCCGATACCGATACTTATATAGAATTAAGCAATCAGGAGCATTATGTAATAGTGTAGTTATTAATGTAAAATAGTGCAATGACACTTTTTGAAATCAACACAAAACCAACACTGAACAGTGAATTTACCTAGAATTTATTTAACATGAACTTCTTAGTTTAGATTTACCTACACAAACATTTATCACCCATGTCAACACAGAACTCATTTTTCAGTATTTTTACTGCTTTCTGTAACAAAGTCTGTAAAAGATGAACCACATTTCACCAAAAAAGGCTTATAGACCTTACATTACAAAGGCTACAACAACAGCTTTAACAACTAGACTAGACAATCCAGACAAAGCCTGCAGTGTTTCAGTGCTAACTGTTTCATCCCACCAGTTAATGGCTGGAGGAGATATATGATGATATTTTACACCATCACATTTGAAGCCAAATGGAGCTTAAGAGTGCCGATCTATACTATGTATAACATCATGTTTCAGAGAGCTACACTGATAAGGCCATAAAGACCAGGCTGTAAAAGCCAATCTTTTTTGGAACCGTAAGTGGCAGGTTCCTCTTCAGGAAAAGAAGCATCTCTGCATGTTTAGCTGTGAGCCTGTTTCTGCTTTCAGTGACAATGTGTGCCACTGAGCTAAAGAATCGCTCACTTCCCACACTACTGCATGGGGCTGACAGGTATCTTCTTGACATTTGGGACAAAGTTGGGAATCGCACTTTGTTAACGCCCAGTACTGGAGCGGTTTCTCTGAACGAGAAATGGTCTTCTCTCCAAGGTATGTTTCCAATTGTATGGCAGCAGCCCGTGGAACATTGAAGCATGCTCATCAGCGATTCCATCAAACACACTGTCCAGACTGCTGCACTGGTCCTTCCTTGGCCTTTTGACAGATGGTTCCTCATTCTCCTGTTGGCCTGTCTCTGCCAGATATTTTCTGCAGCTCCTGCATCACTTTCTCCTTGGCATTCTCAGCAGTGCTGGAGCTTGAGAAGAAACGGTCCTTATATCTGAAAGAGAACATAGGCTATGTTGCTGAAAATGTACATCTTATAGGTGTCCAAATAAATAGCAAAATGTGATCCCATGATGTCAAACGGTGAAGAAACAATGGTGAAGAATACAGACACACATATAGAAATATATTTTACTTTTGATTTGTATCAAGAGGTCACGTTTTTAGCGTGCATGCGCGTTTATGTTAAATCTAAAATATAAAAACCCAGATAAGCGAGGAGAAAAAAAACTCAGTAATGTAAATATTTGAAAAATAATAATCTAACGAATAATAAAAGTTCAGCTTCTGATGACTTGAAAAGCAGTAGTTATGAGAGTTTGTTGAATGTTTTGGCGACATCATCACGCACGCAGAAGCACCGACCTTAGAGGGTTGAAGTGTAGTCGAGAGAATAAAATCTAAATGAATTATAGACCGACACAGTCTACAATAAAAGAGTATAAATTAATCAATCTGTTATTTGATATTTTAGAATAGAATAGAAAACCTTATCGTTCATCTCTGGAGCTGTCCATCTTTTATTTTAGCCTTTTCCCGCATTACACCCCCAATAAATTAGCAACATGAGGTGCGCACACATTAGTTACCTTGGATCGAGAAGCGTTGCGGTGGAGAAGAGTTGGATTTGCTCCACGTCAGCAAATCGTTTCTGTACAGCTGTCAGTAAAGTGCGCTTCATTGTGTTGATCCCCGGCTCCTCATCGGCTTCTTTGGACAGCAGTCTCTGTAATACGGTGATAGCGGGAATCACATCAGAGGCTGATGCATCAGAGGAGCTCACCTGTCGAGTCAACTCTTCGAATGGCGTCAAAATTGTCACTGGCTTCTCTAGTAGGTTCCACTGATTAAGGCCGAGGCTGTCGGGGAGCTCATGTTCTGACCCAAATATTCCGAGAGCCCGTTTTTGCTCAGTGAGGGACTGTAGCGTACAGAACGTGCTGTTCCACCGTGTTTTCACGTCTTGTTGGAGACGTTTAATTGGCTGGTTGAGCTGCAACTGAATGTCTTCCAAGCGGGAATACGACAAAGTAGAATGTTTGAAATGCCCAACAACTTTGCGTCCGACTGCCACAGCGTCAGCGACGCTCCGCTGTGCAAGCAGACCCTCGTTTACTGCCAGCTGAAGTGTGTGCAGTGCATGGAAAGCTAGGCAGTCCAGCATCATCCATCGCCTTTATCGTGTTTTTAGCATTGTCGCGCGCCACGACATGGACAGAACTTTTAGGAATTTCCCAAGTCTTGAGCATTTCCTCAGATGTGCTTGCTGTGGCTTGGCCTGTGTGGGACCCACGGAACTGTTCTGCGTGCAGTACAGCTCGCTGGAGAATGAAACCATCGGCCATCCACTGTGCAGTTAGGCTAATGAGAGACACTGGACAGACGCTGCTGCTCCAGATGTCCGTAGTAAAGCTTAAGGCTGTGATGTCCTGCAACAAGCTCTTGATATGCTTTTGCACCGTGTCGTGCGTCTTTGGTAAGACAGTTTCCGTTACATGATAACGGCTGGGGATTTCGGGCTTGGGCTCTAACACACCAAGAAGGCGCCGAAATCCCTGGTTGTCGATGACCGAGAATGGTTGATCATCAAGAACAGTATACTGGGTAGGAGCTTCTGTCATGTTCACAGGTCTAGGGTTGTGTGTAGACATTGGATCTCGTCTAGCTGGCGTTTGCTGCAGTGTTGGTTGATGGCGTGGTCTGTTAGCTGCGAACTCCTCGTGCTGAGTTTCGTGTTTCATTTTAAGATGGTTCATCAGGTGACTTGTGTTGTAGGAAGATGCAGAAGTACCTCCTCTTGATATTTTCATAGAGCACAGTTTGCAGTCTGCTTTGCTTGGGTTGCCATCACTGATTGTGAAATAATTCCAGATCGACATTTTGAGTTGTCTTCTCATTAGTAACGTAGCTGACCTGCACTCGGCACAAGGTATCGGATGTTGGTATCGGAGCCTCGTTTGCGATTACGAGTACGAGTAAATGAACACGGTATGGGGCAAATACCCGATACCAGTATCGGTGTTCATGCATCTCTAAAGTAAAGTAAATGAAATACACATTTAAAACACAATAAAGAGTTAAATTAACTTGTGTTCACGTCACATTTTGTCATTTATGGTTAAAATTATGTTTCTGATGTAACAGAAAAAAAACTTCAGCAAAGGGAAGCAGAGACTCAATTTGCACATGTAGAGAACAACACAGTTTTTCTTTCAAAGTTACTGTAGCTGTTCCTGCTACCATCACTGCTTAAAGGGCCTCAAACACAAGGCTTTTATTTGTAGAACAAGTTGAGCATTGAACAGAAATGTTATCAATGTTAATGCATTTATCACTGATACCATTTATGCATGAAAAATGTAACACAAATGGATTTGCTTTGTTTACCTCAAATTTGATTAAAATCCATTTTACTTGTAAACAACCTTATCAGCCACGTTTTTAAAGTCCAGAAGCTTAGAGTCCACTAGACCCATCTGCAGTTCATGAGCTTAACCAAGGAAATTCACTCAAGCTTGAAGAGTAGTGAAACAGCCTTAAAGCATAACTGGTGAGGACTAGCAGTGGAACCAAGATGTATTGCTAGAAACTTCCATAAAAAAAACAAACAAATAAAAAAACAGTATGATGAATAGCAGTCATGTAATTAAATTGTCTGTAATTAAAGTCTTACCTCTATATGATGAGGTTGATCCCCGGTCATCCCCATTCTTTGAAACTATGCAGTTCTGGTTTACAGCCAAGAGACAGTGTGTACATTACGTCTGTAATTGTTAGGAGTCCCCCAGTCCTGGTCATTCAGCATCTCTACAACAAAACAGTGTGCCTCATATTTAATGAGGATGGGCAGTAATGACAGTTTTGTTTTTAAATTTATGAAATAAACTTGGGGAAAGACAGTTTTTTTTTTCAAATTACTCGATAATGTAAAGATTTGTTTTATTTATTTGCCTATTATGCTAAAGCTTATACACAATAATTAAGCTAATTATTTTCTAAGCCTTGCCACAAATACTCCTGTGGGTGTAGTTGTCTCCCTAATATACAGGGAGATTCACTTGAAAGAGGCCCAGAATATTCTGTAATAACTCTCTCTAGGATGAAACAATCTGAATGAAACAATGTGCAATGAGCTCCTCAGTATATGGAGCTTTGAACAACTGAGATGCCCCTGAGTCGGAGCGATGAGGTGGGCGCCAAACAGCCGTCGCCATGTTTAACCTCCGTTTGCAACTTCCGGGTGCAGACCCCCGTACCCCTTCATGCATCTGGCAGAAAACTGAGATCATTTCCAGCATCGCATGTAATGCAATTAATTACACATACGACAAGGTATGTAGTGTATTTTTTGGTTCAGACTGCTTCATCTTAACGGCAGTTACAACAGAGTATTCGGGGCCTCTTTCGAGTGAATCTCCCTGTTTAATCCACATTATGTTCATCTGTAACTAGGCCTCATTTTTATATCAGTTCATTAAGAATTATTAGTATGAGTATAATATACTTTTAAATGGCTTGTTTTAATAATTAATGGAAAGATGGCTCAGATAAGTCAGATAAGACAGGATTCAGCTTGATTTTCATGTTTTATATTAAAGTGACAGTGGATCACACTGACATACACTCAGTGACAAAATAATGGAAACATCTGTTTGCCCAACAGACTTTCCCTCCATTTATAGTCTTTATGGGCTGGAACTATGTATGGCTTTTCAATATTCAAGTACATTTTGTGATGTGTCCTTAGATATGTGCAATTTTCTGTTATATTAGCATCAATTATATCTACCTGTGTAGGATATGGGGGTCTCCTCTTCCAAATTCCCTACTGCAGAGTTTTCCATGAATGCAACTGGCTGATCAGAAGCGCTCCTGAAAAACAAACAGACAGACAGGGATCACATTCTATTACTTAGCAATAGTGACAAAACAACCCAGATGCACATATTAAAGATATTTTGTCTTTACTCTATTTTTTAAAGTTAGATTGGTCCAATTTCATTTTTTTTTATTTTAATCTTACAACGTGTAGCCAACCTAATAGAAGTATTACCTCTGTATCTGCTAATACAATACAAATTTAGTTCCTATCTAAACAGATAAAATTACTTTTATGTAATATTTAATTTCACTAAAATGTCTGCTGGTTCTACACTCCTTAAAAAATGGTTCTTCAAGGGTTCTTTTGTAAACAAATGGTTCTGTATACAAACCCATTCCCAAACATTTGGGACTTTATGCTTTAAAAGTAACTAAAAACAGAATACAATGATATGCTATTATTATTATATATTATTATATTATTATATATTATTATATTATATTATTATATATTAGAACCCTATATTTAATTGAAAATAGTACAAAGACAACATTTTAATGTTGAAACTAAGAAATAGTATTGTTTTTTGAAATATATATGTCCATTTTCAACGCTACTTTGTGGCTAATTTCCCAAAATTTGTAGCTGCTACAATTTAGCTACTTTTCCAGAAAAGTAGTGGCGACTTTTTAGCTATTTTCAAAGCGCGACTGTCAGAATGTTTGTGAATCTCCACCTGACACACCAAACAAGCCCATCTGACACAGCAAACAAGCCCACCTGACACACCAAACAAGCCCACCTGATAATGTGAACAAGACACTGCATTTAATGCGCCACTGAAAAGCTGCAAATATAAAGAAGATCACCAAAGAGTGAGTTTAAGTGTAACCAGCAATCAAACCAAAGGCGTGATAACCAACAAAGATTTAGACTAAGTAAAAGCAAAGTCCATCATTCTGGGTTTTTTCTAACAAAAATCAACAAAAATAACTGAAAACAACCCAAACGATTTTGTACAAAGTATTGTGAACTGTTGAAATAAAAATGTAAACATTTCAGCAGGATCTACAGAACGACATTCAGAGTCCTTTAAACTTCAGCACCACTTCAGCCTCAGAATCCTCATCGGTGACTATGGCTCTGTTTGGGGTGAATCAGGCCTGAATCATCTCTCCACTGCTGCATCGATCGTTTGGAGATGGACGGACTTATTCTGCAGTTATAATCACTCAGCTGGTTTCCTGATACGTTTAGTCTGCAACAACTCGCGAAGCTGAAGCCGCTTCTCATTCACCGGCTTCTCGTTTGAACTGTCCCGTTCCACCTTAAATGGTGCCCGAGGCGCCAGATTGTACTACTGCGCCATTTAAGGTGGAACGGGACAATTCGAACGTTCCACCTTAAATGGCGCAGCAGTACAATCTGTCGCCTCGGGCACCATTTAGGCCCGACACACACACCACGCAAGCACGCCTCGAGCTAGCGCGCAGGGGCGCTTAAGGGGAACGCGATCAGTTCGACAGCCACGCTTCAAATCGGCGCAGCAGCGCGCTCTGAGCGCCTAAGGTGGAACGGGACAGTTCGACAGTTCCACCAGAGGCGCAAGCAGCTCGCTCTACTGCGCCTTCACTGTCGAGGGACGGGACAGTCGCAGTTCCATCCTACTGCGCAGCAGCGCGCTCTGGCGCCTTTAGCTGGAAGGGCATTTGGAAACGTCCACCTCAACGGCAGCAGCGCGCTCTGGCGCCTTTAAGGTGGAACGGGACAGTTCGACAGTTCCACCTTAAACGGCGCAGCAGCGCGTTCTGGCGCCTTTAAGGTGGAACGGGACAGTTCCACCTTAAACGGCGCAGCAGCGCGCTCTGGCGCCTTTAAGGTGGAACGGGACAATTCGAAAGTTCCACCTTAAACGGCGCAGCAGCGCGCTCTGGCGCCTTTAAGGTGGAACGGGACAATTCGAAAGTTCCACCTTAAACGGCGCTGCAGCGCGCTCTGGCGCCTTTAAGGTGGAACGGGACACTTCGGAGAGAAGCTGGCGAATGAGAAGCGACTCCAGCCTCGCTGAAGTGGCTGGTTGAGCCGTTTCGCAGGAAGCGCGCGGAGGAGCTTCATAAAATGCGAGAGAAGCGGCCGCGGCTGAAGGTCCGAGCGGGGCGGAGCGAGTCTGAGTTTCCTTTAGACCGTATTTGATCCTGAACCGGAACATCAGCGCGCACCGAGACACGCTGACAGCCAGGACGGTGAACCGTGAAGCGCTGCGGCTCCCGGGGCGGTTTGGTTTTTGTTAAAAGGACAAAACGGCTCTTGCTGACATTTCGGTGTCCGACCCGTCAGCTAAGCCTGCTAGTGAAGGGCGATCAGCGCGTGGGACCGAGACTGTCGTCACTGCAGAACCAAAAGTCCAGGGGTTCGGCTGGATCTGAACCAACTCCTCCCGCGTCGTGTTTAACTGGTCTGAACTGGAGTGGAGCTGATAAAATGGACAGTGAGTGTAGAAAGACAGAATGAGCTAATAAAGTGGCTGATCAGGGTTTATAACATCTCAGATGAGTTTATTCAGGTATACTGAGTTTTTAAATGTTTATTAGACTTATGGAAATGTGTGGCAGTCATACCAAATCCTTGTAAATGTAAAAAAAAAGTCATAATTTTTATATTATGAAACTCCAGGATTTAGTTGATAAAACAGTTATGTGGGTTATGTTGACCTGTCTTAACTGCATTCTAGTGTTTAAAACCGTTCAGCGTTTTTAACTAGAACCCGTCTATCATAAGTACACTTGAGATGCAGGCCTACAGAACAGATTTGTACCGGAATGTGAAAAAAGCTTTCCGAGGTTTGACGAATGAGTGTGAACGTGGTGAATCATGAGCGGTTATAAAGGCCGTGTTGTGGCGTTCAGGACGGAGCACCATCGAGAAAAACACAAAGACACCAGCATCACCTGCGGGTTTCCCACAGGTAAAAACGCGACAGGGTAGACCAGTGAAATGAGTCGTAGGAGGAAAAAGTAAACGTTTGTTTTTTTGTTTGTTTGTTTGTTTGTTTTTGACCTGAAGAGAAAGATTGGTATCCCCCTCAAAAGCCACTATGTTTATATCTTTTTGATGACCTTTTGTTTAACCCAAATGAGTGTTTTATCATAAACCTGATCATAATAAAAGCTACATTTTATATACATGAGGTAAAATTTGCCAGAAAAATCCCTTCATACATCCCGTTTGTGCGCACAGATCTGTGTGATTACATTTCTACATTGGTGAATTGGCGCCAGCAGCACAATAAGAAATATTGTAAACCGTTGCTATGATTAAGCTTTTAAATTTTATTTCAATCCCAATGGTGCTCTTTTTTGTTTTTCTTTCCTCTTTATTTTTTATTTTGTTTATTCTGGGATGTGAAGGCTGTAAGGCATCCTGTTGTTATACTTGTTTGTATATATATGCTTATATGCTGGAAATAAACACAAAAAAAGAACACACTAGTTTAAACCAATAGACCAATAGAAATGTGATGATTTTAGACCAATGAAAAGAAGACGCGGGCGGAGTTGGATCAGGTCCGGCTCCACCCCTTTGGACCTGTGGTTCTGCAGCGAGTGATAGTTGGTGGGACCCGCCGTGACCGCTCGAGCTGTCCGCGGCTCAGTCAGAACTGCACAGTCACCACCGGCCCAGTTAACGACCGCGCTCTGTGGTTCAGATTTTGCGCGAATCGTCTGAAGCTTGTAGTGAAAATCATCGCTGTAGCTACACTAAACTGTGTAGGCGCTGCAGCTGTGGCTACAAAAACTGTAGGTATTTCGCTGCTTAGCTGCTCCCATCCCTGCTTTCAACAACACTCTGTAAGCGCTGGGGAACTGAGGAGACCAGTTTCTGTGGTTCTGAAAGTGAAATGTTTCCCATTCTTGCTTTATGTAGGATTTCAGCGGCTCAACAGTTCTGGAGCTCTTTTGTTGTATTTTTCGTTTCATAATGTGCCAAATGTTATCAGTGGTGACAGGTCTGGACTGCAGGCAGGTCAGTTTAGCACCCGGACTCTTTAACTACGGAGCAGTGCTGCTGTAATACATGCAGAATGTGGTTTGACATTGTCTCGCTGAAATAATCAAGGCAATCCAACAATCTGAGAAAGGCATCAACACATTACTGAAACCAGAACCAATTGAAATCTGATATTTTGACAGGTATGTACACAGTAAGAAATGGTTTATCAGGTCAAACTAGGAAGTTACTTCATATTAATTAATTAACTTTAGTCAACTCTTCAGTCAACATTCAAATACTTTGAATAAACCAATCTTAAGTTAGTGTTTATTTGAGTTGAATGAAACTAGTTAGTTTAGCTGTTACCACATTAAGTGTTTGTTTTTAGGGTGAACTAACAAACCTTCTATTTCACAAGTTTTTTGCTTTTACGAGTTACAATAAGACGTGCTTTGAGTTTCAGTTGTTTTCATGAGTTTTGTGTACCTGACACTTCTTTGTCTCTTTCACTTTTTTATTTTATAACCAAGTCCTCTTCCTCCTCAGATTGGAGCTCTGAAGTGAAGCAGGTCGTTGCCAGATTTAACTTTTTTCTTGTATCTTGGTGGCTGAAAAGTTTGAAAATTAAATTAGTGTAATTTATTATGTCACTGTTATTTGAGTAATATTACAACAAGTAAGAGCAAGTTTACATTTTGTATAAGCCCACCAGCTTTTGCAAGTTCCCCGAGCAACATGGTGGGACCAGTCAGCTCAAGGCTGTTCTTTATTTTCAGTAGCCTGATTTCTCCTTTTGTCATTCTTAAAATTTGGCCACCAACTCATTCCATTTTGGTACCAGTTGTCTGGTACAACATTTGTTGATTTATTTTCTTCAAACTTCACTTGTATATACATTTTCTGAAATATGTAAAAAAAAATGAAATATTACAGATTTTTAAACTTTAAAAAGGATTTTACAAATGACAATTACATGAAAAGTCAGACATTCTGTATATTAAAGACAATAAAAACAAGAATCTATGATTTGTTACTTCTCTCGAACCTTTTATTTAACTGACAAAAGTTACTTGTAATGTTTTGGATGACAAACCAAGTATTTTGTTAATATGAATAAATGTTTAAACCTGCAGCACATTCAAAAACATAGAACAGAGGCAAATTAACAGTGAAAGGTTTATAGAACATTGAAGTTACACCGTTTTGAAACATTCCAGCAGGTGAATTGGTGACAGGTGAGGGTATCAGGATTGATTATCAAAGGAGCAACAGTTCTTTTCTAACTGTTTGACAATTCTCTCACAAAGTTTGGTACAGAGTGGTGGCCATGACCCATCTTTGCTTGCAAAGACTGAGCCTTTGGTGGACCTTTTATACCCAATCATGAGACCCTCACCTGATACCAGTTGAGTGGTTATTGTGGAATGTTTTCAAAAGGTTTAACTTTAATATTTTAAAAACATTTCACTCTTATTTTGCCCCGTTCCAGCTTTTTTTGTTGTTCTTGTTGTTGGCATCAAATTCAAAATGTGTTTATATTTACAGAATACAATCAAGTCAGAACAGTAAAAGTCATTTCTTTGTACTTTTGTCAGTTAAATAAAGGTTTAAGAGAATTAAAAAGCACAGATTCCCTTTTGTTATTGCATTTTACAAAATGTCTAAACTTTTCAAGAAATGGGGTTTGTAAATAAATGGCAGCAGTGAAAACAGTTAAAGGGTGAGTAATAAAACCTCTAGATAAGCACTGTATTAGAACAAGTTAGTGAAAGAAAAAAAAAAACATAAACTTTTTATTTTACCTTGAAGATTATCTGGAGTATCTGGAGGCGCCGTTTTGGATAA